TCTTTCCCTCGCTCGCTCTTCGCCGCTTTTCTCTCACTTTCACACCTCGCCGCAACTTTTTCTCTCTTCCCTTCCCCTTCTCCAACCCCTCTGTCCCCGTTCCTCTTCCCGTCTCACTTTCTCCCACTTACGTCTTTTACCAAACGATTTTCCTCGTTTCCCACTATGCCGCCCTCGAATCCACCCCTAGCCACCTCTATTTCTCTCCCTTCAATTTTTGCACATTCGCTGATGCGGCACATTGCAAGCTGTGCCGGCGGATACGACGGCGAGCAGGACTGGACCCCGGTCACTCGAATCACGGTTGGACCGGAAGGGAGGAGGCGGAGGGCCGCGTCCAGGCTGGAGGGCCGCGTAAAAATAATGTCCTGGCTCATTTTTTAAAACCCCCAACCGCAAAGAGCGGCCAGGACTGCGAGCGAGCCAAGGTCTGGGATAGAGGGAGAAAAAGATAGAAAAAGGGAGGACAAAAAATAAACGTGACGGACCGTGGATATAGGCACCGACGATATTACGGGGCGCAATAGCACGGCCCGACCGACGCCGGATGAAACGGTCAAAGCTAAAAAGCTCTCTCCGCCGAAACGGGCTATATATTATCTGCAACCCTTCAAACACAGAACACACCGAGATCCATACATAACCCATATGCGTGCGCTTCTCTACGTGCTGTTTCTCTGCCCAAGAGCTCACCGTACGGTCGCAAGTATACGTCTGTTTCCAATAGACATCCATTCTACGAGATGCTGACGCTTATGCATGACCCCTTTGCACACAGGTAGACTCGTAAAGGAACCGCAAGAAGTTTCTTGTGAACGATGAAGAACTTTTACTACTGAGAGGCTCCAAGGATGGACCATTTTTTCGTTTTCCACGAATCGCGTGAAATTTCATGCCAAACCTTCCAATGATCAGTTACGTGTAACACTGTCGTTATGTGATTAAATTTCAGGTATACTGGTTTCTACAAAAATTCTTCTTTTTTTAAGTATCTCACTGTCCCTTATTACCAACCAGTAGAAATCTCAATTTTATGTCGAGGAAGATAAGGTTGACACAAAGAAGCAGAAACAGTGAAACCATCTGTGCGATCTGCCTAGGAAGCACGAATAAAGATTGGATTCTGTGTTCCATGTGTCTAAGAATGAGCTCATGAAACATGTGCTGACATTCAGACAAATATGTGGTCATTGTGTTATATCACGTTTTTTCGTTCTATTCAGTAGCAGATGCCACTTTTTGTTTCATCTGTAACCACAGGAAAATGTTCATTCAAGTTACGTGTAATAATAATAATAATATTGATTATTTTGTTATTTCGTTTTGAAAGAAATATATCTATGATTAGCAATGATTAAATACCTTTCCAATATACAATTTTTCATAATTAAATCGTAATGCAAGGGATTAAGAGGGTCTTCTATGTTGAATGGTCAAAAGAATCGATGGTCCTTTTTGCATTATTTTAAAATTTAAACTTTGAAAATGTGGTTACCAAGCCATTTCGCGAACCTTCCGTGAAATGATCAAAATCTGATGCGTTTTTCTACTATTTCGAAGCGCGAGAGGTCAAAGAAGATTGACGAAAATGGATATTTCGACTTCAAAATGACGTTGTTTCCTTAACTCTCGAACTATATTTAATTGTTTTTTAGTTCGGGCATATAACTATGTCCTTACTACACAAAATATTTTATCATTTGTCCTTTCCGTATAAATGGCATAGCCAGAATCACGAAATCAGGAGTGAGAGTACAGTTTTCAAACCAACCTGTGTTTATCGCATTATTACTTTTACAATTTTCACTTTCTTCAATTGAAATAATTCATTCATATAGACTAAGGACAAATAAAAGAGACAGCAAAATCTCGATAGCAAAATGTCTTACGGTTTTCTTTTTTAAATTTCCAAATATGACCTTTTTTTCATCTCTGAAAGTAGAAGGCGATCTTATGTCGCTTGAAATGCTAATTCTTCTTAAAACGAATTACAAATTCTCGTTCTCGTTTCCATTACCTACATAATTCGAAATTAGCAGAATTGATAGAAAGGCGTATGACCTGGTGAAATTTGATCGAGAACTCGCGTACACAACATAGGTTTCCGTTGTTAGTGTGCCAATGGCACGTGCCACGATGAATAGTGTTGCACATCATTACGTAATCACAACCAAGAGTAGAGATACCACCAACTAAAAATAATTTCCCGATTTAAATGCGAAAAGAGAAAAATCTATTCTTCTGGCCCTCGAAAGTAGAAGACTCCGTTAACAGATTCTACAAACTGAGTTTAGTGATTGTATCGCGAAAAGGATGCTTGATTTAAGTAATTGTAAATCCTTTTAGGGCCAATTGTTCTTTTACTAATTCATCCGTAGTAAATTCCTATGGAAATTTTCTTCCAAATAAATGGTTATCGCGCGCAAGTGTGTACTTGAAGACATGTCCTTAGCGACTCTGCTAACGACTCGAATTGGTCGTTAAAAAGCGATAGATACTGTTTGTTTGAAGGTAATCGCGTAACTCCAAATGTAAGCAAGTCGATTCAAAGCGAGAGTAAACCAAGCCACGTGCTCGTATATGGGCACACTATACTTGAAGAGGGCGAAACGGGCGTGGTTAGCGATCTTGATGAGACAGTGTCGACCAATACGGCGGCGTTACGCGATATGGCAACTGTTGCAAACGCAAGCGCTGTTAGGGTTGCTGTTCCGAGCTGGTGATAGGTTGATGTGCAGGGGTGTTTAATGTATGGGCGCAGACTCGAACATCGGGAACAATGTTGAAAAGGTTACGCCTGCTGTAAGCACGCGTTTAGATTGGTTACACATTAACCCATTCACGAGAAAGTCTCGAGGCACCTAGACCAGTTGCTCATTTTGTTTCCTTGATCCTATAAGTGTCTCGGTTAATTTTGGTTATATATATTATTTTCTTACAAAATAAAAAATATTGCTAGTTACCTTTCTGAAAAATTCGTATTTTTGTTACCTATAGGATCGTTAATTCCATTTATCGAATTTAAAATTCGATCGATTCGTAAACAAAACAATATTTAGAATTAAAAGTATATTTATATTAAACAATCGAGTACTGTTATTCTAAAATATGTTGAAATGACGAATGTTCTAATTCCACCTATATCGTATTTTAAATAACAAAAGTGAATTATTTTTTTTTCCATGGTGAATATATTCGTTATTGAACAAAAAATAAACTCAAAATACAAAACTAACGAAGAATTCTATGATTTATTTAGTGAAATTTTCAAAATTGAAATAAACAATTTTTTGTATGTGCTAAGTTATTATTAGTTATTTGCTCCTTTTAAAATATAGTTCGCTAATAATACCGTATGCTTCAAGCGCATCTTTTTCTATCTTTCATTTCATATTCATTTCATGTACTTTGTCAATTTTTATCGACGAAAAGAAAATCGTTCTTACATTTTTCCCATTCAAATTCTAATATCCAGACAAAATGGAATAAAATTCATTTCATTTTAAAAAAATTTAGTACTTTCTATTATAAGTTAATGTTGTTTGTAAAACTAACAAGGTAGTCATTTATGTTTTGATCGGTATCACTATGATATGGTCGGAGTAAGAATATCATCTTTTATATTGTTGCTTTCCAGTTTTAACGATTGTTCAAACATTACTGGCAATGGCTGTTTAGAATAATTTTTCAAAACAAATAACATAGTGTTTATAACTTGCGAGGGATTTTTGTAAAAATATTTGTATTCCGTATCAGCATCTGCATGCTTGTTGTAGGCTTCTTCGATGAAATTGCCATCAGACGTAAAAAATAATATTCTAGGGACATATTTTCCATCTGGTTGAAACATTTTTTTATTTAAAATTGCATCATTTTCCATGTCCGCTTTTATCATTATAAACCTGTTACCCATTAATGAAAATTAATTTGATTACGTGAGAAATAGTCGACGCCGTTATAATATCCTTTAATTTTATTTGGTTATTTTTGGTAATAATTATCTAACCTATATAGATTAATACGTATCAATACATACCGATCACTAAGATCCATCAACCGTACAGACTTTGAAAAATTCTGTTTTAATTTTTGACAAGAAGGACACTGTAGTTTATATATCAGCAAAAATATCGGTTTGTTGCTAACCTTAGCCTCTTGAAAGCCATATTTAAGAGACCTCCATTTGAACAATTGTTCGAAACTAGCTTCAAAATTTGAATCTCTAGTATTAACAAGCTTGTTTCCGACTATATGATTTGCTAAATTAATTAAATTTAAAGCACTGAAATATTTGATGCATTGATTCATAACTTCAATATTTTTCATAATTTTGTCATAGAATGTAAACATAATAATCAATTCTAAATACTTTCATTCATAAGATTTCGATATATCAATTTACATTGTAAAAAAGATGGCACTGGAAATTTATGTCCCATTAATAAATACTATTTTATCGTTTGATACAAATATAGTGGCCGCTTCAAAAAATTTTCTAAAAACTGATATGACGATTTTATTATAAGTTGATATAACACTGTTTTATTAGCATTACATAAAAGTAGATTTGCGAAATAATGTGTTTGCAAATTGTGCCGACATGGCGACACTGTACTAGATACTTAAAATTTAGCGCCATATGAATAAGCACAAAGTTACATTTTTATACTTATTTTACTCATATATTGTATATGTTCCTCGGAGAAATGGATTATCAATTTGTCTCATGCTTTTAACAGTCCTTATCTGATATTTATTTTAAACAAGTACTCACATTATTTTTACAAGAATGTAACGATAGTGAAGAATAAGTTCACATCAAGAAATAGGTTAACATTATGTTAGAGTTCCTTTGATATCGTATTCTTTTTGAATAACGCATGAAAATATCGAATTGTGGAAAAAATGAGCAAATTATGGAATTATTTAATATTTCAAGGATGGATGTCATATTTGATGGCAGCTGGTTTATTGATTTTTACAAGCGGTTTTTTACTGAATCGTATTGCGAGACCAGAACGTGCCGAATGCAAATACTGTACAGATTCTGACTGTACCATTGAACAACTTCTCCAGAATCCCGAAATTGCTGCAATCACGTGTGTTAAAAGGAAGTCACGCGTTGTGTTACTAGTTGTAGATGCTTTAAGATATGATTTTGCATATTGGTACAATGATAGTGGTTCTACTTCATCATACTATCGCAATAAATTACCAATAATTCACGAATTATTGCAAAGTCAACCTATGAATTCACGTTTATACAAATTCATAGCAGATCCTCCAACAACCACTATGCAACGATTAAAGGGTCTTACTACAGGATCGTTACCTACTTTCATAGACATTGGATCTAACTTTGCTTCTGAAAACATTAATGAAGATAATCTTGTTGATCAAAATGCTGACAAAGGTATTGTTTTCATGGGTGATGATACTTGGATTAATTTATTTCCTGGTAAATTTAAACGTCAATTTCCATCACCATCTTTCAATGTTTGGGATATAGACAGTGTTGATAAGGATGTTAGATACCGTATATTTTTTGAAATGAAGAAGAAAGATTGGTCTCTTCTTATAGCACATATTCTTGGCATCGATCATTGTGGACATAAACATGGTGCTAATCATCCTGAAATGACTAGAAAATTAAATGATACAAATACTCTTATAAGAGAAATTATTGGATCCTTAGAAGAAGATACAGTACTTTTTGTTGTTGGTGATCATGGAATGACAGAAAGTGGTGATCATGGTGGTGATAGCAACAATGAAATTGAAGCTGCTATGTTTGTTTATTCTATGGTTCCTCTTGTAAAATATAATTCATCTAGCAATACTGTGAATCAGATTGATCTTGTTCCCACATTGGCATCAATTCTTGGAACACCCATACCATTTTCAAACTTAGGATCTGTCATAATTGATTCAGTTCCAAGTTCAACAAAAAATGGAAAATTAGAGAATGATTTATGGTATCTTTTACTTTCAATGTGGAGAAATATTGCACAGACAAAAAGATATATGAATGTGTACTCTAGAGATAGTTATTCGTTTTCTAATGAGCAACTTCAAAATTTAGAAAATATGTATAATCATCTGTTTCAACAAATTAGAAGCATAACTACTATTGATGAATTTGAATCTTTTATTATAAATAGTAAAAATTACTTTAAACTGCTCAAAGATACATGTTCTGAAGTTTGGGTTCAATTTGATTCTAATCTAATGTCAAAAGGGCTATTTTTAATGTTTAGTGCTTTGTTTTTCTTTTATCTATTTATCACAGGCATTCCAGAAAATCGCATGTCTAAGATATTTCAATCATCATTTTCACAGTACTCTATTTTAACAAATTTAATTACTGCACTAATAGTGTCATTTTTATTCTTTTTTGGCATCGTAGAAGAATTTAAAAATACTACATTATTTGCTACTGGTACAGTATCTATAGTATTATTAGTATTATTAATTGCTAAAAACTGGGATGTAATTTCTTTAACTTGGTATGATTATCGAAAAATAAAAAAATTGATGTATGTTACAAAAGTGGTACTTTTTTTAACAATATGTAGTCTCTTTTCTAACAGTTATATTATTGAAGAAAATAATGTACTATCTTTTTTAATTGTTACACTTCTTTGGCTTCTTATGTTTAATTTAAAGAAAGAAAATACTAATGAAAATTCAGAAAGAAAAACAAAGCCATTTTTAAAATCACAGACAAAGTCAAGTTTAAAGACAGTTATAATAGTCACTGGTTTAGTAGCATGCATTTCTATACGATTATCTTATTACTTCTGGCGATGCAGAGAGGAACAACAGACACGTGTATACTCTACATTTATAATTGGTAAAACAGGATCTATAACATCAGATAATTTAGAACGTATTTTACTTGCTATCACCTTGATTATACTTGCATTATATATTACAATTATTAGATTATGGTTACAAAATTGTGGAAATCTTTCTGGTTTCTCTCCCAGTGTTTTGGTAGGACAATATTGTCCTGTTGTGATTGGTGTTTGTATGGGCTGTTATTGGGTCCTTCAAAGATTACCAAAATTTGTGAAAGCAAAGTATGCATTGTCGTGGCAAGTAAACACATTGCCCAATATAGTGTACGCATTAAGTCTGTTTGCAATTTTTATTCTGTACTATCGTCCCCTCAGTATATTTCTACTACCAAAGAAAAAAGAATCGATTAACATATATCATAACGAAAATATAGTACCTCGATTATTTGAGAAAATAAAGGAATCAATTTATCGCAAAAAAATAGATGTAGATCAAACACCAGTTGTTTATGGTTTGGGTACTGCCTATAGCGCGGCATTTGTCTCATTAAGTGTATTTCTTATGTTATTGTATTCTTTATTATTAGGAGATATATTATCACCTAGTACTTTTTTAATGTTTATATGTTGTGCCTCTGTTTTGGGCTTATCAGCAATAGAAAGATACAAAAATGCTAATAGTATATGTAAGTACTTTGAAATATAGATAATCTATAAATAATTTAAATTACATATTGTATTTTTAATATTATAATTTTAAACACAGCTGAACTTGTCAAAGTGCCTACTCCTATACTGTTATGTTGGTTCTTAATAGCAGAATATTTCTTTTATGGCACTGGTCATCAACCAACTTTCCCCACCATTCATTGGGATGCTGCTTTTGTGGGGACTGGTGGACACTTTTATGGAAATTTATTACCTGCAATCTTGATAGGTATACATAATTTTACTTACATTAATTTAAAAATACTTTCTACAAATAATTATTTGCAGGAATAAACACATTTGGATCATATATTATATTAGGTGCAACATTACCACTATTAGTAATTGTGCCATTTACCTTTTATCTTGTATTTCCAAAATTGGTCAAAGTAAAATTTTTGGAGGATGATATGAAAAGGGGAGAACTGCTTCTGTTTGAACAAGATTCTGTATTTCATACTGCAATCTTCTCAATTGCAGGAAAATACATACTGCTTCATGGAATTAGAGTAAGAAATACTTTTAATATTTTAAATATATTAATGTATTAAGAAATATAAGTTGAATGAATACTATAAATGTTTGAAATTCAAAAACTACTTTGATAAATTTTCATAACTTCATATGTGTTATAGACATTTGGCAGCATGCTTGCTACAACTATTCACTGTCGGCACTTAATGGTTTGGAAGATCTTTGCACCAAAATTGATATTCGAAGGTTTGGGATTATTGGTAACGTTAAGCAGTGTACTGGCATCTTTTTATATGGTGTTCAGAATTGATCAGCAAATGGAACATCTTATATCCAGAGTAACAAAAGGCAGATGATAAAACTTTTCATGATACGAAATATAATCAATATAGTAAAGTATCAAAGTTTGAAATGTAATATTAAACCAGGAATGTCTGCAATGACTTTATTCTTAACTTTGAAAACGAAAGTTTCTATCAAAGAGAAGTAAATTAGACGTCCAACATTAACACTTACCGATACTGCCATTTTCATAATTTTATATGACTTTATATAAAAAATAGTGAAAGTGTAATTAATATGAAAATTGAACTGAAATATTTAGCACATGAGAATGAGATGTTTTTCCTTCATTTCTTCAAAAATTATATACCGTGTTATTAATTCTGGTGCTTCCTAACACACTAACGCTACCCTGCGTGCAATGCATTGCTGATTACAGAGAAACAAAGCAACGCACTTGATGCAGGATTGCGTCCATGTGCGCTGATGATTGCTTGACCAATGTACGTATTCATTTTAATGTTTTATGTTCATCATTGTTAATTGCATTTATATTAATTGATACCATAATGTACATTTCCGTTTCATTTGTCATAAACATAATAGAAAATTTAATAAAAAGATATACATCTTTAAGATAACTCTTCCTGAACATTTTAAAATGATAAAATTTTTCGATTTTATACTCTTTTAGTACATAATTTTATGTGCACTAAGTATTTTGTAAAACATACTTTATTGAAGATATTATTAAACGTACACATTCTATATAGTATACGATAAAAGCGATCAATTTAAAGGTTCGTAATTAAAAGGGATAGGAATATTTCTGCTCTATTAGTAATCTAATGGTGATTGTGATGTCTGTGTCCTTGGTAGCCATTTTGCAGATATTCCATCCAGTTATTCCATCTATTAATATCTTCATAATTGTTGGTTTCCTGTGACAGATAAACATGTTCAAAATATTCATAGTACTCAAATTACACATACTTATTATTTTAAAAGTATGGTATCTGCATATTAGGTAATACAGGCATTTGTATCTGAAAACAAATGAAGTTTTCATGTTTTATAAGATTTTTTGTCACCATCATTTGTTTTACAATGATACAAACATTCCCCATATTTTTTAATACTACAAATTATCATTAACTATTATAATTAAGTTTCATTGTGTCTAATATATAATACAAACATATAGATTCAAAACATTTAACAAATGTTTAATTTGCAATTTTTATTTCAATGTAAATACTTACAAATAACTTGATTCCTCCACCTTGATGTCCAAGTGTAGATCCTCCACCTGCCTGTATGGATTCTATAGAACCAGGTGGCAAACTTTGATATCCTTGATGCATTTGCATATTAACTGAACGTGTTTGCTGCTTTTGATTGGAGTTACTTTCCTCATTCATCAAAGATGTAATATCATTATCGACTTCTCGTTTTATACTTTGTTCATCTTTAGGGTAAGAAACCCAAAATGACGCTGGACTTTTTGACAGTGTTCGAGTCATTACTGGTCCAAATTTATCAAAACTTGTTTTGTATGAAAGAGGCATTCCATAATCCAATGTATCTAATTTATGTTTAATAGCTTCTAGTAAACTCATGTTATTGAACATACCATCAACACTGGGAAGAATGCCATTAGCCATAGGATAGTTGGCATTAAATGTTTCTTCTGAAGTACCTGTAGACACCATTTTGGCTTTCATTATATTTTCAATTGCTAGAGTAATATTCTTTTGTAAATCAGTTAGCATATCAAACACTTGACTTAAAATAGCTATTTTTTGCTGGAAAGGAAGTAATCCATTAGCTGATTTTGACCATGCACTAGGACCAAAAGGTTTGAAAGGCTTTTTTGTTGACAATGATGCTGCAGAGTTTTCATAAGAAATTAAATCATTCATTGTTGTCACCATGTTACTTTTTAAATCACCTAATTCAGATAAAATGCTAGTAACAATTGAGTCTTTAGCAGCATTTATCGATGATAAATCTTCAACAGATCTTACAATTTTTACTTTGTCTTCATCAGATGCAATAGCTCTCACTAAATCATTTTTAACATTTACGCTATTGTCAGTGGTTATCATGGTTTTATTCAATTTTAAAGTTTCAAATAACTTATCTAGGAATTGTGTTACTTTTTTATTATATTCCATTGGACTAGGAATTAATGATGATGGTAACCAAAAGTCTGGTGCTACAATAGTACTTTTCATTAGTGGCACTTCCGTCGAAGTTGGTGATGGAGTAGTACTAGCTATATTTTTGAACAAAGTATCCAAGAAAGCAGATTTTTTTGCTATAAACATAGTTGGATCCATCACTGGTCCAAATGGTCCAAATAGTCCTGGTAAATATTGTTTTGGTGTGACCATACCTCCCAATCTTTTCTGTAGATTTACATCTTCCTCAGGTTCTTCAGAAATTGGAGCAAGAGTGGGATATGAAGGTGGTGGTCCTAAATCTTTTATTTCAGGTTCACCATTATCCATAATTGACCGAAGTTTTGCTACAGAATATTCATCTATACTTCTTCTTTTACGGGAATACTTATTTTTCATACTATAATTAGGTAAAGTATTTAAACTTGAGAATTGAGACATAGGTCCAAATTTAGGACTTAAAGGATCAAAAGGTTTGGAACCAAAGGGTCCAAAAATTCCACGTTTGTATGGAGCAATACCATCATTCACAATACTTTTGCTCAATAACTGTGCTGCATCAGGCATATTATATGAAGGTGATCCACTTGTAGTATATGGTATAAATGGTTTAAAGTCCATAGGATAAGCAGGTCCTAAACCACTAAACAAATTACTGAGTAAATCTGTCTTTTTTGAAATCATCATTTTAGGATCAACAAATTTTGGAAAAAACGATGATTTTTGCATGTAAGGCACTGTTATGGTATCTATTCCTGATGCTGGTGGTCCAAAAGCTCTTGCATAAACTAGAAGGACATTTTTCACGTAAGAACGACATAAAATAATTCATATGCATATACTGTATATTTACATCTAATATTAAAATATCAATTTGATTAAAAAATTTTAACTTAAAATAATATCAAAATTATTTTTAAAAATTAAATAATTTATATTACCAGGTTTTGGTGTAATGTTTATCCATGGTGTTCCTGCAGGAACTTCAATAGCTGCACTAGTTGTTAAAACTATTAAATAAGAAAAAGGTACCAAATATTTTGGTAGAATCATTTTGCAGTAATTTACTGAACTATGTTCTGTTACTGCTTTTATAGCAGTGATCAGATAATAATACTTGCAAAGCTTTTAAGATTATTAGCATAGAACTAATACTCTTATTAAAATAATCCATGATGTACAGAAGGTACATATGTGTTTTATAATTAACGAATATAATTTATTAATGCTACTTAAAAGAAATATAATTTCCTTCTTTCTCATGCTATATAATATTCCAACTACTGCATTTTTAATATATTTATTAATATTTAATATTAATTTAAATATATTTAAATTAATTGTTTAATATACTAAATAATTTAAAACAAAAATTTATATGAAAAATAGTTAAATAAATAGTGTAAAAATTAATTTTAATTTCCAGTTATATTTATTTATTTTATTCATACTTCTATAACTTTATTCATTTGTTTTTGTTTACCTATAAATAAAAAATATTTCATTTATTAAATGTAAAAGCGGGACATTTCTTTACTTCAAATTATAATCCGATTTCAATCGACTTGCAAACGAACTTGCGAGAAATGCGTTACTCATTTATTAACAATAATATCTTGAAGCAGCTGTTTTCATTATTTGGTAATTACCAATTGATTGTATTAATATCGCGGAAAGCTGTCACTTTATAGAAAGACGTTTACATCGAAATGGAAATGAAAAGCTATTCTGATAGTAAGTAACAATATTATTTAATATTTATTATTTAAAATAGTAATAAATACTATTCTACGTTTAATTTTATAACAAAAATGCTATAAAATAAATCGAAAAGTCGTTGAAATTTTTTAATCAGCTAATTAAAAAAAAATTAATTTATTTTAACAGTTATCAAAAGTAGGAATGCCATATCAAATATTGTTTCTACATGTAAAGATTTCTCATGGACTGCTTTACAACAAACTTTGAAAGACACAAATATTATTAACGCAATAAATCAGTTGTTAAGTATATATCATCCTGATGACGGTATAATTGCATATGAACGTGTATTAAAAGCTTTACTTATTTTATCTAAAAATTTGGATAATAGTATACAGCAACAAATAATTTCTGTAGTACCATTACCAAAAGGTGTATCAAATGACAAAATAAGGAATCTAATATATAAAATTACTGAACTGATTAAAGCATCTAATATTAAGTCTTCATATCAAAAGTATGATTTTCATTAAAGTAATTTTTCATATTTTTATAATATATAATGATAAATTTATTTCTTTTAAGAATTATCACAGTTCCTGAAAAATCTAACAAGGAAATATTAAATGACAACTCAAAGATCCATCTAAACCAAAATATTTTGCTTAACACATCTCATAATTTTGAATTAAATGAAAAGTTTGTATCTTCAGTACCTAAAGTATTTAAAGGTTTTCCTCCTAATGAAATTTCAACCATTCATAATCATGTGAACTACATGTATGATACATTGAATTATAATATTTCATGTATAAAACCTCATGTTAATATTAAACAAAACTTTACATCAAAAGTTTTAACTAATGAACAAGAATCGTTAAAACTACAATCAAAACTAAAATGGTTCAACACTCCTCATCTTCTGTATAAAACTAATTTTTATCAAAACTCTACATCAGATTACCAACAACAGTTTTTTAAATCAATGGATGATAAATACTTTCAATTGTCCATTGACAGATTCAATAATTGGAATCATTGTAACATAACTGATGTGCCTCATACATTAGATCAGGTTTGTAACAATTGTTTTTTAAAAGTATTTTTTATAATATTATTAATTTAACTATACTTAAATAAAAATAATAAAATTAATGTTACAGAATACTACATGTTTAAAAAAACTACATAAAAGTGCAATTACAAATAAACAGAATAAAAATGAGATCTTAAATTTAGAAGTAACATGTAGTGACAGATTTATACAAACAGAAACAAATTATGAGATTTTAGATAATGGTGATGTAAATAAAAATTCCAAAAAATATAGCAGTATAAATAAAAATAAAATTTTTAACATGGAGACACAATATTTTAAGCAAGAATTAAACGATGAACAAGCAATTCAACAAGATATATATAAAATGGATGTTGTACATTATGAGGAAGAAAGAAAAGATACAATAATCAATATACAGGTGAAAGAAATTTATATTTATAATAATTATTTAAATAACTTGTTATGATCCTATAAATATTACAGACTTTAAAAGAAGATCAATTCTTAATGGATGATTTTACTGCACATAAAAATCTTAAGAGAAGTTTGCAATGTTTCTTAAAACGTGCAGAACAGGAGACTTTGATCGGTAATAAAACTATTTTTATAGTCATCATTCACAAACATACTTCAATTTCATGTGTACATATATTACAAGCATTTCTTCTTTTTATATATTCAGAATTTCCAATATTGCCTTGGACAAAATCTCTGTATGTAGTTCCTCCTACATCCAAACGTTGCAAGATTGTAAATCAAAAAAACCTGGAAAACAATAATCAATTAGATGTTTTAAGTAAAAACATGAATAGTTCTAAGAATATTAGTACATCAGGAAATACAAAAAAATTTATTGAAAAGAAATCATCATTTCATATCTATCAGAACCCAGCTCAATTAAAAATGCTTCATAAAAGTTTGAATACTGTAGTTAGTAAAACTAAAACAATAGATTGTGAAAAAGAGGATTACATAGAAAATTTGTTATACAAGTACCATTAAAGTTGCTGTGTAAATTTAATATTTTTCCACAGTCCACAAACTTATTTAATAAAATTATTTATATGCAGATCTGCAACGAAACAAACAAAACAAAAAAATTTGAACACTTTACAACAAACTGCATCTATTACAGAGTTGGTTACATTTAAAAAACAATACTATGATACATTGTTAAATATTCAGAAAGCCAAGAGTTTGTTATAATTATTATAATTTTCTTAACATTCTTACAAGTATCTAGGATTATATGCATATATAAATTTATTATTTTGTAGTGGCAGTAGCAAATTCCTTGGCAATATCATCTGTAGAAAATTTCACCAAATATGATCCATATTATTCCAATCATTCTTATCAGCAGCAACAATTATTACAACATGGACCATTAATTATGAACCCACAATTCGCAGTACATACTATGACACAATCAGGATTATCAAATATACATGATACACCTTGGGTGAAATACAACAATTGGAGACATTCATCCATGAAACATTTAAAACATTCACAACAGGTGAGATATAATTAAGAGTATTACTCGTATACATACATATTGCTAAATATTTATTCAATTACTTTATTCATTTTATCTTCTTTTAGTTTCCATTTCAAGTTTCAAGGAACAAAGAGTAAGTTTTCTAATCATGTCTTCTATAGTAATGTATTTCATCATTAATTCCTTCTCATATACTTTTTTTGTACCAGATATTATATTTTACTTTTTATTTCTTGTTTTTTATTTTTTCATTATTCTGTTAAAAGGAATTCTGTACTACATTATGTAAAAACAATGGATATTCAGTGTTTTACGGAAGATAAAAATAAACAAATGAAACAGAGTGTACAACGTAGAAAATTAGAAGATATAGTAGGAAAGTTGAAAGAAATAGAAAACAATAACACAAATAATTAAAAATTGCTACTGACCTCTGTTATTTTTAGTTTGTAAAAATATTATTGCATACTTGTTCAGATGAATAATCATAAAAAAAAGTCAAATCATTATAATATATATGCAAACAGATTTTATGAAATTATATCTACTAAAGAAGAGTAAAAATAATACAAATGTTATAATAAAATTTGGTAAAGACTATTGAATTAGGAGAATACATATCAAATAAAGTTTCTCATTCTTTCATTTATCTCACACCAGTCTCAACAATTCATAAACATTGATACGTTTACATGGTACATAATAACGCGCGCGCGCGCGCGCACGTGCGTGTAATTATTATATACATGCATAAATGTATGCATATATATTTTCTATTATATTTTTTGGCACTGGCAAAAAATAATTAAGTATTAGATTAATCGCAAATATTTTTAATTTCGTTTGTATTTCGGACGATTACGTGACAGTTTTCTTTGTTTAATCGCTTATATGCAAAATTATATCTTGTTGATGTCAATCGAACCTTAATACTTGCAACATAATAATTAAATAAATCTATTCGTATTCTTCTTGATTAACATAGAATAAAGTTGTTTCTAGTTTACTAACATTATGTGGTATATTTTATATTAACGTATAACATACGCACTTATGATTTTTGCATAGTCTATACTATACAATGGTCATTCATCTCATTATTTCTAAGTGTATAAAATAATTTTTAAAAGAATAAATGATAATAATAACTTAGGTGTTATGGATCATTAATTGTTATTGTCCAGAACAATCGCTATGAAATATGACAAATTACCAACAGGTTAATATGTAATGTAACTCTTGGTAATTTACCCAACCACATGTATCAACTCACAATAATCTTTCCCTGTCTCAGAAAACATCCAATATGCAAACCTTTACAATGAGTCTATAATAGAAATATTATTATATACTCATATTTATCATTAATTAGTATTGACAGCATCATTTAAAAAAAATACAGAGATAGATATTCATACAAATGATGCTGTCAATACTTGGTATAATATCTAATTATGAATCAAAACACATCCAAAGGATCTACAGTAATCGATTTTCTTGGTAGTAAAGACTTTTACATTTTATTTTTGATATTATCCAATGAACCAATGTTAGGCCAAAGAACTCTTGTGTCATGTAGTACATATATCTCTTTTGGATTGTCATTATTTAATATTATAATTGTTAGAAACAATATGAATTTTTTTCATAAATAAATAAAACATGTTAAATTAAAACCATACTTCACTTTTATTAAAATAATATAGTTTAAAAAGGAAAGAAATGTACTATAGCAATGTATTTTAAAGATAATACAGAAAAAAACTTTAATGAATCAAGATATTGTATATTTCAACTTAAATAGTAAATAGAATTAAATTATACATGCAAAAAGCAAAATAATAAGTATTTAGCTGTATTAATTTTTTTGTGCGTACAATGTGTGCTTCTATTTTTCAACATAATCCTTATTTACAAACTAATTTAATTCAACATTTTTTATTCAATTTAACATTAGTATTTGATTAGATAATCGTTATGCTACTTTTTAATGCAAATACCTCTTCGTATTTCAAACTGCTTTCCTAGTGAAATAAAAGATATTCATAAATGTTTTTTAAATGAACATCATAGTACAAAAAATAAATATTTACAGCAACAAGATTATAATTAAGAATAAGTTTATAGAAAAAATTTTATATAATTTATATTAATTTTAATAACTTGTTTTAATTAATTGAAAGAAAATACTTTTCAATCAGTATTATTTATAAAATGTAAAGGAAAAGTATGTTTGTCAAAAAAGTAACAACCTTATTACAATTGTGAAATAGATTTACATTTCATTTGAACAGTAATATTCTTTACTTTCTAGAATGAATTCCAATGACTAATATTCAAACCTAATTTCAATCTTTATTATTTGTGCTATGATTTGAAGCGCTTTCAGTTAAAGTTTGTACAGAAATATATTAAAAAGTGTTGTAGATTCACATACTAAATATAAGTTTAACAATTTATTTATTATGAGGTATTGCAGATTGTAGCGAGGTAAAGCCTCTGATACTAAATTATCGAAAAGTAACAAAGTTATTCGACATACATGACACTCAAAGAGCGTTATATTTCTTCTGGCAGTGTCTGTACATTTTTTTTAATCATTTTGGTTAAACTTTTAAGCTAAATATCTTGCACCACATAACATTTTCATCGAACATTTTTATCATGAAATCTATCCATATTTTTTAAACATTTTATCAGTACACCAGTAATGTACCATGTATAAGAAAAATTACATTTATTTCTTCGTTGTGTTCAAGAAAATCAAATTACATCATCAATATTTTGACACAACGAAGCTACCATAATATATACTATTCCTTTCTTTTTGTTATGATCCTATATGAACACGCACTTTTTTCCTTATGCTAATTAATTGATTAGATAACTGACGCGTTATACACGCCAACATGTAATTAGATGCCTGATCCAAATGTATATTCTAATATTGTATCAAAAGACAAAGTAACTGTTGCTTATGTCTCTAGTCAAAATTAATTACTTCTTTGTGTTTATGTGATTATAATAATCTTAATCAACTGAAATATAACAGAGGTCCCAATGTAATTGAATCTATATACCACCTGTTGTACGATAAAAAGAGATTTCAAGGACCAACTGGTCAAGAAACGCAATCTTCTGATAGCCTTGAAGATAAATTGTACCTCTAACACGATATGTATGTACTAAAAATTACTTTACTCTTTAATTTGATGAATCAGTAAAGACAATATTGTACAAGAGTACTGGACTAGAAATGGTTTGAGACTTTCATTAAAGTAAGTAAGTAATGCAACAGCATTGCTACTCATTATATTCCAAGTTTGCAAATAGTGCTTATATCTTTTAGGAAAGTAGAGATAAACATTCCCTAAACTCCCAGACTGCATAATTATATAAAACACAATCATTTATGTATAAAATACTAATAAAAAAAGTAAAATTCATTATGATATAATTGTAGGAAACAATTATAATAATTATAGGAAACAATTTTTGTTTAGCTTTGTCGACAATCATGAAACACATTTCTATGCCCATCTCTATGCAACAATAATACTGTTTTAAACAATAATTGAAATATTATAATTTAAATACTTCTTCCATGCATACTAATTCGTTGTATAACACAAAAAGTTAAACTGATATTAATTTTTCAGTCTTAACATAAATATTGTTGTCTGTTTTATTTGAGGAGCAATTTTCATAAATTTGTAACAAAATGCATTAATATAATTGTCTCTTATTAACCTTTTATCAGTGTTTATAGATTGAGTATGCATGGAGACAGAATAGACATTAAAATATAATAAAATAACAAATGAAGAAATATTTTAATCAGTAATTACTAATGTAAGTTATACTTACAAATAATCCTGTTAATACTTAGACTTACTATTTAATGTATAATTGGAATGAAACGACATAATTTGTATGTCGAAGTCAGGCAGTCTGGTTGTATGATGCAAAGTGTAAAAAATCGACAACTAAAAGGAAATTATCTTCATGGCAGCATAATATACAAGGCAACGATAATTTTATACAGGATTTTTAAATGTTTGGACATAAGACATTGTCTCAATCTTGATTACAATGTAGAGCTTTCTCATTAAATGTGAAATGGAATTTTATCTGCAGTTGCATTGAGTAACTGATTAATAATATAATTCCAAACTTACATTTCATTTTACGCACAAATGAGAAGAACATAGATGTAAAGGATGATAACAAAGTTGTTGTGGTCACTGTGCACTACTTTAACATTAAAGTGACTCTTACATATGTAATTTCAAACACATTCAATTTGGGCAAATGAGAAACAACGGAAATATTTCACTGATAAAACAATAAAATATTGTTTCATTCTTTTTTCCTTTCCTTAGTGTAAACAGTGAAAGAAGATTCAATATGATATTATGAAACTATCATCCCAAGGGAAACTTCTGTATTACATAACTGTTCCCAAAAGTCATTCACTGCAATGAGTCCAACATTTTCTAAGACATATGTATGTATTTTCAAATTCAATCAGGCAAAGCTGTAAGGATCAATAGTTTTACTAGAACAAGGTTGGACATCGTCAGGTGGTGGATGCCATTGTCCAGTCCACATGGCAGTACGATCCATAGCTATTTCTGCTGCTTTTTCCATATTGTTACTAGATGTACATTCCATTTCCCAGTGAAAACCATTTTTAGTCACTTGCATTGAACTAGATTCATCTATGCTACAATAGTCCTGTGCTTTATTATTCACTGGCATTTGTAAAGTTTTATTTCGAACTTGTATAGAACTATTGCCTCTATGCTCAGCACCAGGCCAAGGTCGGGATTGCTCTACCGACTGCAGAGGTAATTTCCGCGGAACTCGTCTAGGTTTATTATCTTCCAGAATATGACCACTATTGGTTTTGGTACTTATTAAATTTCCATCGCCTGTTGAACTACTATCACCTTCTCTCCTTCGTCTTCTTCTTCTCCTTTCAATATCGATATCACTTCTTTGAATATCTTCGTTATTTTCTTGGGAGTTTAAAAAGTGCTCCCTTGCAGAAGCCCAATGATCTTTTCTATTAGCACCTTGCTTGTATCTTGCATGATTATCATTACCATGATGGCCATTATTTGTGTTTGTATCACTGTCTGTATTTTGTTTCCTCGACTGTTGATTTTTAACAACCCATGAAGCAGGCCTTTTAGGACTACGTTCTTTAAGAGTAACCTGGAGAAATAAAATTAGAATTATCAGCAATAATATAAATATATTTGTAAGGAAATGATAAAAAGTAAAATTACTTACTCCAGAAGAAGAGGAATTATCAACAGGTTTATAAAGTTGTGTTGGTGTATGATTACGACTATCTGAACTCCTACAACTTGATCCACTGCGACCATGTATCCATGAAAGTAAGAAGGCAAAAATAGCACATGACAGTCCAAGCACTGCCGCAGCAGACAACTGGGAACGAGTGCGTTTTGGCACCCAGCCACCAGTATGATATTCCCATATAGAGCATGCTAATAATGCACTACTCAAGGCATAAGATAAGCCTATGCCAGTGAATATCCAAGCATTCTATAAGAGGTGATGTCTATCAGATACATCAGTGTTAAGATATTAAAGCACTACTAAATATATATAAACATATATAAAAAAGACTTATATTTTTAATCATGATATTAACCTCAACCAAGAATAAAATATTAGTAAATTATGGATTACTTACCAATTTTGCCCAATTGAAAGGAAAAACATAGATAACATGCGAAATATCAAGGAAGAGGAGTAATGCAGTGACCAAAAAACAGAAAACTGCTACAAAGATCATGAAACGCAGCCGCCCGACTAAAGGCAACATAAATAAGCTGACCTTGGCAGTGCCAGAGCTGCACAATGTTGCCAAACACGCTGCAGATGATATCTAGGCAAACAATTTAAAGTAACTTATTGTTTCAGAAATTGATAAATAAAAAATAATTGAAATACAATATTACTTACAAGTAGTAAAAGTCTAATAACACCAATAGCTGTTTTAAGATGCCCCTGTATGTCACAATAAAGGACCAAATGACTTGCTCTTGGCCAAGCCAAAGCATTTGAGGAAGAGCCATGGTGATCACCATAGCCATAATTACCATGATAATTAGCATGTGAGTCCCATGAGTGGACTGTTGAATGGACCCCTGGTGAATCCAGCTCCAAAGGTTGGGAGCTAATTTGCCCCCCTGTTCTACTGCCTGCTATTAATATCAAATAATGTATATATTTAAATGCTGTACTTTTTTTTTAATATTTTACATAAAAACACAATATTTTTTAGCAATCTTTATTAGAAATGATTTGCAATTTAAAAGCTATTCTCATACCAATATCAAAGTCCTGAATGTCCTCAGGTCTAGAATATGCAGAGGCTGGTAATTCCAGGTCACGAATCTCTTCTAAGAGAAGTACTTCTATCTCGTCGGCTGCATACAAGTCCGAAACCGAGTGAAGATGATGCTGAGTCTCGCTCATTACTTAGGCACACTCGATTGTTTACTCCTTCCTGCCTGCCGATGATCTTTCCTATTTGTTCCACTATTAACCACCATTCGTTACTCATTGAATTTAGTAACTGCTTTATTTGTTTGCCAGTCATTGTCTACACATATTGTGTGCCATCTCTTTTCTATAGGCAATACCATCCCTTGGCCTTCAGGCCACCTATAGGAATTAATTAATATTGCACTACAACAACAGGATAAATACTAGGATATTAATAATCCATTGCTAAATGATCCAACTGTGTAAGGATAAGGATCAAATTTTGAAGTAAAAGAAATAAACACAATTATAAATAAAAATAATTTATTCTATATAAGAACATAACAGCAACAAAGTGATAAATAAAAAGTAGTAAAATAAGGAGTAATATAATTATTTTAAACTATACATAAATCCAATTCAATAGATCAACAAAATATCTATTTTAATATAGTATTGAAACTACATTACATGTAAAAATATAAATTATTAACTATAACTATATATTTAAATAATAACTTATATGATAATAGTACAATATAAATTTCTAAATATTAAACATTGTTTCATTACAGGTTGGGACTTATGTTTCTATTATTGACAAATATAAGCAGATATTTCAAATATGCTTAATATTATTTACAGTATTAGCTTTAAACATTAATACAGAAAATAAAAATAAAATTAGTATATCATTTACGAAAAAATTACAAATAAAATATACTTTTACTAGTGTAAATCATTGTTTTTTCAATTTAAGAAATCTGCAGTATAAACGCGATAGAAATAAGAGAAAATTTTGTTACAAATTTTGCATTCTGTTTGACATCTAATATTAATATTAATCTAATGTATAAAAATAAACATAGTTTTCATGGTTAGTTGTTTTTATAAGAGAGTATCTATTAATTCTAAATCCACATGTGGTTGCATGTGACATCACATCGGGGTGTATTAAGTACAATGATCATCGAGTTCATAAATTCTCCGAAAGAACAATTGACACGTACCTCAAATTTGTTTTTGATGAACTAACACAGAGATCACATTTTTTCGGAAATTTTCATAATAAATTTTGTGACTGCCTGAAGAATATCCGCCATTGCCTTTTTGCTGTTTTTGCTCATAATCTATGCTCGTCACGACGACCTAGAAATAGCAGATGGAACTTGACCCTTTTTAACATTTGCTACTAATAAAATATGGGACAAATACATAAATTGTTTACTTACGATAAACAAACTTCTTTTCTGTATAGTTATTTATTTACACTATGAAAAAAGAAAAGAATTATAATTATATATTTAAAAAATACAATTTTTTAATTTACATGCTCTGTTAAAATTGTCAAGTTTTACGTTTTCTTCTTTTTAAAATATCAATATAGACAAATAAATTAGGAAAATGGTAACTAATTATAATAAATAAGAAATTAATTTGTTTTATTTTAACATCTGATCAATTTCAGTTATTTCAGTTTTTTAAAGTACATTTATAACTTTGAAGCTAGTATAATAATTTATCTGAAGATAAATCTGAATATTAATATTTCAAAGTTTAACTTATCATATATAATATTTACAGTTATATTTTCTAAATAAATTTTTTTAGGAAATTTTTTAAAGAGCAATCCTAAGTAATTGATTTATACAAAACTATTAATTTTCCTTATTCCAAATTTATAAAATAATAAATACTATATCTTTTAATAATGTTTCTTGAAAAATTGTTTCTTCTGTGGCATTGTTAATGCGCCTTGTTGTAGCTTCTGCATTGAAGTCGCATCCATTAAAATCTCACTTTAAGCAGTTCTTAGATGGACAATTAGCAATAGTAAGCTGTATGTCAACTCGATCTGTCAAGTTGACAGGAGAAAAATGTATCAATCTTTCTGTCAGTATTAAAATACACACACTTATTTTAATTATTATAAAAGTATTAATCATGCATGTTAAAGAAATATGATACTTATAAATAATTTGTTATTTTAAATCATACTTAGAAATCATTTGCGTCTTTTAGTTGTAAGCATTAACCATTATAACATAAGCATTCGCATTTCTAACCAGCGTCTTCCATCATGAATACATAGTAAGTTTTTTAATATTAATTTTTATAATATTCTCTTACTTTAAATAGTTTTATATTCGATAAAATACTGTTTTATTTGCGTAACATTAAACGTATTACTCGTAATTGATAAAATATCCACCCACACATTTATAATGATATTACTTTTTATAATTACTATTATTATTATTATTATTACTATATTTACTAATGATATTAATTTTTAGTAACAGAAATGGACCAGGTATATCAGGAAACACTTTTGACCGTTGGGTACAGAGGACCAATATGCATGATGATTCTACTATTACAAAAATGCAACATCAGTTTTGGGTTACTAAACAAGCTTTATCACGGAAGTTAGGAAAAAAGGAAGATGATTGTATAGTAGCATCTGATGCAGAATTGGATGCCAAGTTAGAATTGTTTCGCAGCATTCAAGAATCTTGTTCTTATTTGCAAAGAATTATTGACAAATATCAAGAAAAATTATGTGGTAAATTGTTATAACTCCAATCATTGTAAAATAGTGATAAATTTAATTAGAAAAAAAGAACATAAAGGTTATAAAAATAATTATTGCATTAAATTTTATACAGATCTTGCACAAGAAGAAAATGCAATGGGTCGGTTCCTTAAAGATGCTGGTAAACAAGATAAAACTAGAGCTGGTAAAATGATGACAGCAGTTGGAAAATCACTATCATATTCTGGTCAACAAAGACTTGCATTAAGAGCTCCACTGAGACGATTATATCAAGAAGTAGAAACATTTAGACAGAGAGCTATTGAAGATACATTGCAAAAGGTTCAAGCAATGGAGAAAGCTCGTACAGAGTACAGAGCAGCTCTCTCATGGATGAAAAATATTTCTCAAGAGTTAGATCCTGACACGTCAAAACAATTAGAAAGATTTCGTAAAGTCCAAACATGTGTTAGACAGTATGTACTGTTATTTATTTGTTAATTGATGCTAAAATTTAAATTTTACATATATTGAAATACTTCTAAATTTATAATTTGTTTATTGATCTAGGGGTAAAATAGCCTTTGATAACCTGGCTTTAGACTGTCTTCAAAAGGTAGATTTACTGGCAGCAGCAAGATGTAATATGTTTAGCCATGCTTTAGTTTTATATCAAAGTACACTTCTAAATTTCACTGAAAAATCTGCACAAGCATATTCTACAATAGCAAGCAGTTTTAAAGGTTATCAACGATACAATTTTATGGTAGTGCGAGAACTCGCTGAACCTTCAAGTAAATTAGCTCAAGAAACTGGAGGTGACGATGATGCTGATGAAAAAAACAAGTATATTTTATAAGAATGAAGAAATTTCAGCAAGTACTAATGATAGGAATTTACCATGTTTATAAAACATTTTTTATTATAGATTATCATTTTTTGATATGGATTATCATGATAATGTTGAGGAAGCTGAAGAAGTAATGTCAACTAAGAATATAATTGAAAATGACAAACACGATGAAAAACTACTGGATATTGAGTATGAAACACAAGACATGTTAGGATTGGAAGGATTAGACATAAATTCCAGTTCTTCAAATAATAGAATTACACAATCATCTTCTAATATAGAACATGAAAATCTCGATAAACTTTTTGAAAATTTAGTTTTAGATAACAATATTTCTCATAGTGATACTTCACGAGAAAAAAATCAATCTGAATTTGATAAAAAGTTTGATGAACAAAATTTAACAATGGACATATTCGATAAATCTGATACAAATTTTAATTTAGCTGATTTTTCTTCCTTAGAAGAACAAAATTCAAGAGAACAATCTCTACAATCACTCACATCCGAAAATATGGTACTTTTGAATGATATTCTCACTGATAAGCAAAATACTAATAGTGAATGGGAAGTAATATCGAACGATACATTTTTACCACCAGATATATTAAAACAAAGTTTAGGTGATGTAGCACTTGGTGTTGAACAGAAAAATATGCCTACTACCAACATGGGTGATAAAGTATGTACAAATTTTTGGTAATATTAAATATTAATAATTTTTATTAAAATTAAATTAGAAGTATTTAAGAAAAGCAACATTTCATAAAAATTAATTAAACTAAAAAAGAATTACTTGACAATTGTTAATTCTAATAAATTTTTATCATATTTTTTCTTAGAAAAAAAGTAAGACTGGCAAATCTAAAGGTAATTCCTGGTTGGATTTATTTGCTGAATTGGATCCTTTGGCTAACAATCCAATGGAAAATCTTTCCAGTGACAGTAATGCATCTGCTTAATTTTTTAAAGTGCTTAAAATTATATTCTCATGACATGGTTAGTTGCTATTTATAGCAACAATTAAAAAGATATTTTTATTTTCTTCAAATAGTAATAATGCTTAAAGCATTATCTATTTCTTACATTTGCATTGATATTTCATATCTATTATGTGAATTTCATCATTCCAGATTTACTAAATCTAATAAAAAGAGTAAAATGGTGGTAAGAATCAAAAATATTTAAATTTAATGTATAACTTTCCAAGCTCCATACCAAAAATGTAAGATTCATGATAGTTTATAAAATACTAGTTGCATACTTTTTTCAAATACACTAAAAAAATTTCTTTTCTGTGATGATAAATAAATACCAACTTTCCTATCTGCATTTATATAACAAAATATATTTAAATTATGTTTAATGTTAAAGTATATTAAACAAATACTTGTAATTTGTTATCATTTCACAGTCTGAAATTTTAAAATCAATTTCTTTAATATTATCATTGTATCAAACAATTCATGTTTAGAAAATGTATAATAGAATTATTACATTATTTCTTCTTTTTTTAATATACTGAAATATTGCATACTACTTTTTTTTTAAATAAAATAAATACAACATAAACAGATTACATTGTCAGGGATATTGTTTTTGTATGTTTTCTATATAAATATAAAATGCTTATGCATTAACAAAATATAGAATCACAGTGTAACACCAAAATATAATTATATTTCACATATAAAAGAACTCTAAATCAAAACCTAACTTTCATCAATAACACATTTGAAATTTAAGCATCATAGAATTGTGCCATAGCAGTTCTGACCCTGGAACAAAACAAATGTATATTAAAAATTGAAAATGTACAAGAGAAAATATTTTTATATTGATTATATTAAAATGTAATATCTTATTGAATTATTATAATTTGCAAGAATATTTAAGAATTATTTTTAAGCATTTTTGAGTGCAAATAGAAAACAAAATTCGTAAACTGTTTATCATACCTATCAAATAATTGAAGATCCTTGCTATGACGTAATTGTTGTAAAATACGATAAAAGCCTAGTTCTTTTAAACGTGTTTGTCGTTGTGCAGCACCAGGCTCCTCCCTCCAAACTAAGTTGCACACACAAAAAACTGCGGCAACTTGTAGCTTTACATTACTATGCATCTAAATCAATACCATAAGTGTTATAAATTTCTACTATTACTTCGATAACGTGTTATTTAAATATAATCAATAAATTATATAAAAATCATAAAATAATGGAAAATATATGCTGTATTATTCTAAAGAATAAAAATAAGACCTAAAAAGATAAATTAAAAAATGAGGAAGTAAAATTTGTTTACAAACCATATAATCCATAAGTTTCTTAAGCACATCCTCATTAGCCATAATATGATCCTTTGCTCGATTCCCATCAGCTACATTTGCTAAAATACAGAGAGCTTGCTCCTTTACATCTGCCGGATGTCTTGGATCTTCTAAAACTAATATAACAGCTTGCATAACGTGTGCAGCGTGTTCTCCCATTATACGATCTATATGAGCTTTTGTAGAGAGCAAGTTTCGTAATAAACCTAATGTCTTCATTAGAACCGGTATATTTTTATCTGCCAGAAGACAAAAGATCTGATCGGTTCCCAAACATTGTAGAATTTGCAATTTTACTTGTTGTTCGGCTTGAAAAGCCACGTTCATCAAAGCCCAGATTCCGTTTAATCGCAATGCCGGTGTACACCGCTTTGTAAGTGAGCATAATAACTCTATTCCTCCGGATTCAAGAATCGGTTCTTTACTTGGACTAAATTCCAATAATAAGTTACATAAAGTACTCGAGGCAACAGTTAATAAATCAACTTCACTTTCACCTCTACCTACATAATACAATTATATTAATCATTAATAATAATAAACACTATTAATAATATACTTTGATTAAAACTTTTTTTACTCTAAATTTACATAACGCTAATTACAAAAAATATACAAAGGGATAAAAAATTTTCGGGAATCGTATATAATTTAAGCAATACAATTTTATATAGTTAAAGTGGAATATAAAATATCTTATAGTTTTGTACAAATTGAATTGTTTAAATGATAATTCATGAATTATATTTTACCTTCCAATCCTTTATCTGCTCCATGTAACAATTGCATAAGTGGTCTCCAAACAGCATGATCTTGAAAAGTTGTTCGGAGTTGTTGAACACTTCGGGAAAGAGAATGTAGGCACCTAACTGCTGCTAAACGTACATGCGAACCACCCGGATCTTGAAGGCCTGCTACCACCTGCTCCATAAGACTTTCTGTTTCAATAATACGTTTTCTAATATCTTCATCATTAGCACTAAGAGACGCAATTGCCCTGAAAGCAGCTTGTCGCATATCTTGCGTTAATGTTGCATCTTGTACCTGAGAAAATTGTTAACAAAATATTAACAATGGCAGACATAAAATAAGTATATGTATATAAATATACTCACATGTGGATGAGGTCGTAATAACTCTGCTAGCGTAGGAATTAAATGATTACTAATGGAAGCTAAACGTTGCAATTCTGTATTAACTTCAGTAAGAAAAGCCAAAGTTTCAGCTGCGGCTACTCTTTCACGAGGTGGATGATCTTGATGACAAAGACGCACCAAACAAGGTAAAGCACGATATATAATCCTTGAATCTTTGTATAGTAAAACTCCAGTTCTATGCATATATGTAACACATCTTGCAGCTTCAAGTTGAATCAACGAACTTTTCTCACGGCCCATTAACTGTCCTAATGCTACAGGTACAAGCCTACCCTGTGGTGTATTACTGGTAGTTGCTGATGCAACCATAACACATACCCTATAATTCTTATGACACATATTTGCCAAGCATGCTAAAGCTGATAACTGCACATCAGGTAATGGAGAATCCAACTGCATTGCTAATGTTTCTACTGCACCTCCTTTAGATAAAGCATTTTGCTCTTCTGTTGTCTAACAGAAAATATCTGAATTAATTTTATATATTATATAATAAAATATGTTTGATTTTGTCATCCTTTTACCTTACATGCTGTTGTTAAAATTGTTGCTACACAAATTTGACAAGTAACAGATTGATTTGCTAATGATACTAATCTTGGTACCAATGCAGGATCCTGATATATCGAATGAACTGGGGCTGCTGAATGTTGAAATACTGTTCTCAAACAACGCAAACATGCTTCATTTAATAAATCTGTTACTTTTGGTTTTCCTTCTAAAGGAGTTTCTGTGACAGGTGTAGATAATATAACCTGAAAAAGCAATGGCACTACACCAAGATCTATAAGTGCCAGTACATGCTGATCTGTTCCTTTAGCTAAAGAACCTAAAGTCACTGCAGCCTCAAGCCTAATATTGTCTCCAATTCTGTCTGATGAATCTCCAAGAAGTTGTAACAAACGAGGTACTACTCCTTGTGCTATTACAGATCCTTTTTGTCTATTACTCCCAATTACAGAATTTTTTAGACATCTAGGAATGATAAAAAGAAATTAATTATAATTAGTATACATGTTCAATTACATAAAAATTAACAAATTAAAAAAAGAAAATAACAAAAATTAAGATTACTTTAATAATATTACCTTTCTAATACTTCTTTTACACCATGTATTACAGTGATTTTAATAAATAATGACCTTTAGTAAACAAGTTTAGAGGTTAAGTACAATTTGTACTCACATAATAGCTTCTAAGCATTTTTGAGGATCCAGCGAGTATAGTTCATCGATGTAACTTCTCGAGCTCTCAACATCCTTTGACACAATTGAATAATCATGTAATTTTCAGAATTTTCTACTTATTGTATAAAAATGGTATGATTAAAAGTAAAAAAGAAAACAATAACGCGTTTTGCCTTTTCAATATTATTCACCTACCATGAATGGTTGCATCACTGACACCATACTTCTTTCCTTTCGGTTTTACATAAAAATATTGCAGATATTCACTTAAAATAATTCTGTACCATATAATAAACTACCACGAGGAATCGTTAATTCAACAATCGACTTTGTTTGTTATGTGAACACTCCCCGTTTCATTTGATATAATTTGTGTTCAAAAAATATTTTCACCAGAATAGTGTTGCCACTACTATATAATTATGGTATTATAATATTTAGCAAAATTCAATCTTTTAAATTTTTTTATGTGAATGTAAATTGTAAACTACTATAATCGTACAAATTGTCTTTATTAGCGAATCTAATTATTTATATAACAATTAATATATATTTTAATATTTGTCATTATTCATCACATAAATTTTTAAAATAGAAGAATTAATTTTATTTAGTATATAATTATTTTAATAAAATGAATTTATCTTTAAAAAGTTAAACATTCTTTTGATTGTTTATTGTTTATAATATAGTAACCTTTATATAATTGGTAATCTTGAAAACGTAAGCAATTTACGCGCATTTATTAAGAAAGGGTATTTATTTAACATTAAATTGTGTATTTGTTATAAAAATATTTTTTGTCCGTCAAAAAAATTAATTAAATATGTTTCTGGAATCATTACACAAATATTTAGATATCGTGGCAGGATATATATTCGATGAGGATAAAGTGGTAAATATTGTACACACTTTTGATTCCTCATTTTGCACTATTAAACTTATATTGATTATTATATTGATTATATTGATTATCTTCAATATTATTTTATAAAAATGTTCTGAAAATTATTTTAAATATTCAAAATAATTGTAGGTAACGTATAAATGGTTAAGTAAAGAATTGGAAGTTCATGTTAATATTTCAAAACAAATTTTATGGGAATTTTGGCACAAATATAAAGAGGAGAAAGATTTTGATTGTACTTTTTTATTAATGGGGATTTTGCATGATAATGGTATGCGTATTGAAGTCGTAAGAAGTAAAGATCTATTAACAGCAAAAGAAAAATATAGTAAAATTATTTGCAAGCATATTTATAGCCTTCAAAAAGTATTACCTGAAATACAGATACTTGGAAATGTTGAAAATGGAGATATTAAATTCAGTGCAATTAAATGTATTGAGAACAATGAACGTAGTGACGAAGAAATGCATATATTTCGTTGGAATGCTAGGTCAAATGAAAATAAACCTGTACTTGAAGAAAAGGTACAGTCAATATCTAAGACAAATAAAGTAGAAAAAGAAAACAGTTCAGAAGAAAAACAAATTGTTAAAAAGAAAAATGCTGAAAGAAAAGGTTTTGATAATTTGTTTGGGAAAGCCAGTAACAAACAAAAGGATCCATCTGTGCCACCTAGTTCAGAAAAAATGGAAGTGGTTTCTTTTGATCAAACAAAACAACCATCTAAAGATGTTACTCTTAAGTTTTCAAAGAGCATTAAACAAAAAGATGGACTTAGCAACTTCCTTCAACCAAGCAAGAATCAAACAAAAATTGTAGAAACTGTGGATGAGGATAAAATTTCAAGTTCCATAGAAAAGAAAATTACAGAGAAAACAACTACTTTAAAAAATAATGATAAACAAAAAAAGACTGTACGCGGTAAAAAACGTACTAGAAGCAAGGAGACTAATAACACTGTAAAGAAGCGAAAACGTATTACAATTTGTAGTGATTCTAGTGGTACAGAATTGTCTGATAAGGAACAAGAACAAGAATTAGAACTACCACCTTCACCTGAGAATTCTTCTTTTATAAGGAAACGTTCTGTTTCTCCACCACAAGTCAAACATGAAAATGGAAAACGTAAGATTTTAAAAATAGTAGATAAAACATTTGAAGAAGATGGTTTTCTTGTAACAAAAAAAGTACATGTTTATAAAAGTTGTTCTGAAGATGAATCAGAAACCATAGAAGCAAAGGAACCTATAGTACCTGAATCACGTTCAGAAGTCAAAGGAAAGAAAAACTCAAAACAGACATCTCTAACAAGTTTTTTTAAAAAATTATAGCATATTTCATTGCTTAGATTGCATGCTTTATAATTATATTTATTTATTTTAATAACAATACTATTTTTTTTATGTTTAATAAAATTTATGAAACAAAATCAGTTTAATTTTTATTTAAAAATTATAATCATCTTCTGAATCTAGATGATATAGATATATATTCACTTGTTAAATACAGTTATCAGATATGTTATCACAACTGATGCTAAATGCATGATACACCCTAACTATGAGTAATAGTAATCTTGTAGTGATTGTTCCAAGTATAAGGTGTTTTTAATATAAATAATAATTTAATAAAATGTCTTTTTATTTATATCTATTTACATTCTGTTTCTTATGGACAGTACAGAGTTCTACATGTGACATATGTTCAACATGTTCGTGTTCAGTTCTAAGTAAGTAAAAATTTCATCTTTGTAAGATATAACTTAAAAAAACTTTAAATAAAATTATATACTAATTACATATGTGAATTATAAAATCTGTATTAATTTGTATTAATATCTGTATTTCAAATGTAATTATTTTTCACTTAAATATTAAATGTTAATGAATTATATTTTATATGTTACAGTAAATGAAGAACTACAAATTAATTGCTATGGAAAACATTTGAGAAATAATGATATGCTTAATTTTGATTTATTAACATTAAATAATTATCAAGTATTGAACAAGCTTATTTTATCAAAAAACAATATAGTTAATTTATCTAAAAATTTATTGAAAAAGTTAAAATTTTTAAAAAGTTTAGATTTATCTGAAAACAATATGGAAGAAATATATACAACAATATTTATGGACTTGAATAACCTTGAAGATCTAAATCTTTCTCAGAATGCATTAAGAACTTTTGATGACTCCCTACTGGAAGTACTTCCTGCATTATTGACATTAAACCTTAGTTATAACAATATCAGTTCAATAGAGCATATAATGAACAAAACTACAACACAGATCAATACACTTAATCTTTCTCACAATAACATATTCAGTTTACCTGAACAGTTCTCTAAATCATTATTACATCTGCAATATTTAGACCTGTCATTTAATAGAATTCATTCTTTGCAAGAATGTAATCTAATACATTTATCTTCTTTAAAAGTAATTTATATAAATAATAATTTTCTTCTTCTACTAAACATGCAGATATTACCAAAGACATTAGTTGAATTACATTCTGGATATAATCAAATTACAAAAATGCTATATAACACGCATTATATTCAAATATTGAATATAGAATACAACAAAATTTCTGAAATAGATACAAATTTAACAACAGATAGTTTACAATATTTGAATATTAGTGGAAACATGTTATCGAGTTTCCCAAATATGTTGTTTGAAAATTTGAAAGTTTTAGACATATCTAACAATAAATTAACTTATATTCCTGAAGTGATGTCTGTTAAAAATTTCCCATTACTGATTCACCTTGATGTTAGCAAAAATCCTATTCAAAACTTAACAATTCACTCTGATTTGAAATTAAATTTGTTTATTGTAAATAATATGGATATGTTGGAAATTATTGATGAAGATACATTAATAAATTTAAGATCACCATTGAAAGATTGTATCAATCTTATCATATCTAATAACAAAATGTTATCTTTCATTCATGAAGATGCTTTCAAACATATGAATTTATGTTCAGTAAGTTATAAATTTTATTTTAAAATATATTTTAAAATTAAGTAAATAATTTTTTGTTATTATTAGTTAGATTTGAGCAATAATCAACTTTCGTATGTGGCACAAAAGCTAATTTTACATAATTGTACTTCTGTAACATGTAGAATTAATCTACAAGGAAATCCATTTAAATGTAATTGTGCCTTACAATGGATGCTAAATGACTTGATTCCGAAACTTTATTCTGCTCATCCTCATCTATTAGATGATTTGAGGTATATATTTTAAGAAAATATTATTAAATATTAATTCATTATTGTAAAATTAAATACAACAAAGGTATATTAATTATTTATTACATTTTGTTGCATCATGTAAGGTGTTCTTGGCCTTTACAAATATCAGATATGAGAATGGTACATTGGTATGGATGGAAAGATCAAATTTTTTGTACTAATGAATCAGTTTTTAATGAAAATCTTTCAATGAATGCTGCTGGTGTAGTAACTCATGAGATGATAAAACTTGATTCTAGTCCTGGTTTACTAGTTGCTGTAGGAATAGCTACAACTGTATTAACAATTTTGATAATAGTGGGCATTATATGGACACAAAGAATAATCATGAAAAAAAGAAGAGTCAATAGAAAGTTTTAAAATTCATTATTTTTTAATATGCAAACCTTTTTGTTCTTTTATATATTATTTTTAATTAAAAGAAATTTCTTAAATTGTTAATGCATTGATATTTTACAAGACCATTTCTAAAATTATCAAAGTAATTTAAATAATAGCAAACAACTTGTATTGTTTTTTAAGTTGAAAAATTAAATAATAAATCATAATAAATTACCTTTTGAACTAATTTAAAATATAAATATTATCATTCATACAGACATTAGTCATTTTATAAGATTGACAAAATTACTAACGAACACGCTATTAAATATTAGTAATGTTACAAAAATATAAACACTATTAGATACATCAGCTAAAAAAATTCGGAAATTTTTTTTAGCATTGTATAATATAACTATCATGTCGATATTTGTTTCCCATTAAATTTAAATGTTATTAAAAATATGGTCATGAATAAAATATTTTTAATATACAATGTATGTATAAATAAATATGTATGAATACGTATATAGCAATACATTTATCAAAACATGAAAATAAATGAATAAATAAATAAATATACACACATTCCCACACATACATGTGCGCGCGCGCTCACATACGCAGTTAATTTTTCGACGAAAATAGTTAACGAAGTCTATTCGAATATTTTCTAAATCTTATAACTACTTACCAAAATACCTTAAATATTGGTAGGAAGTTTTATTAAATTATTTGCCAATTTTAATCAAGATAGATTCTTAAATTTTACAATTCAATGATTTTACGTATCATTTGCAATGTTCCTATTTTAGTATTTTAATATACATTCTAATAAAATATTTTGGTAGAAGATTAATTATTATTAATTACAAACTATATTATCTTTGTAATTAAATTGACTGATCACAATAAAAACTGATAATGTATTCAGATACATTAATCTATGCTTTTATTATTTGTTACAATATACTGACCTAATATTGAACGATCTTAAAAATATAGTCATCGCTTTGAACGTAAAGTGAGCTTTGCAATTTGCAATTATATATCATCTATTTGCCAGTGACTAGATGTCACTTGAACTGGAGGATTTTCTCTTAATTCATTTAAAAAATTACAGATATTTTCATAATAGCGTGGTTGATACCACGTTTCATTGTGTGTACCTCCAGTGATTGTAAGTATCTTTTTATACGGACTTTTACAGTTCTTATAAAGATCTTGCATCATACGCGGAGGTACTAAAGTATCCGCCAGGCCAGAAATAAATAACGTAGGCACCATTACCGATCGCATTTTGAGAATGGATAAATACTATAATACAAAATGCTTGTATGAAATTATTTTAATACAAAAAATTAATACGTTCGCTACCACACCAAGAAAACTGTCTACTACAAGACATACTTTTTTTTCAAGGTTCTGCAAAATATATAATAAATTTATATCTATGTACGATTAAAATCTAATAAATGTGAACAAGAAGCATTAAACATATGTGATGCTAGTAACGAACGTATTAAACTGTAAAAAAAAGGTCATATTACCTTATTTTTATACAAAAAAAGGGGTAAATATTGCAAACATTTTAATCCAAAAAGTAATGCTGCCATATCAGGAATACTAGTAAAAGTATTCTCAAGAATTAGACACCAAATTCTTTGTGAATTTTCTGGTTTTGTAGCTAAATTAATGGCTACAGCTCCACCTATAACAATATTTAAATGCAACAAACATATAACACATGCTCTTTATCAAAAATAATTAATTTAAAATATATATACCTAATGATCTACCAAATACAATTATTTCATTTGTATTTATATCAGTTCTACTAGATAAATAATCAATTCCTGCTCTAGCATCCATATATAATCCCTCTTCAGATGGCGAACCTTGTGATAAACCATAGCCTCTGTACTCTAACATTAAAATATTACATTTAATAGTATGATATAATCCAACTGCATTTTGTAATCTGAAATAATTCTAGAATTATTATTTTATATTTTAAAATAAAATTATATAACATAAGATACTAAAAATTACTGACCTATGTCCTACATTACCAGCATTGCCATGAAGAAATAGCAAAGTAGGCACCTTTTTTGCTTTATCTTCTGGTTGAGAAATAAAAAACATGTGTATCATTATACCATCTTCTGATTTAGTATAAATACTTTGATAAGGTAATTTAAATATTGAAGGTGCAGGAACATATACCCGAGAATTAGCTGGTAACTCTGGACGATATACAAGTTGATCTTCTCTATGATATAACATACCTATAATCATAAATGAGGATATGAACTTATTAGAATTATAAAATTTTATTATAAATATTAATAAATTTACCTGTAATGGCAAAACAAAGTAGGAAAAAAGCAGAAATTCCACCATACAGCCAGTATAGGAGAAAACAAGCAAGTATATAAGTTCCAGAGAAAGCCCAACATTTTATAACTATATTTCCTAATAAACGGATGGGTTTACTGCGAACAAGTCGCATATAAAATGACATGATTGCTGTATTGTATTTTCAAAAAATTAATTAATAATCATCTAAAGCACTTCTACAGTCACTAAGTTTGTGATATTGTGCATCTTGACTTGATCATAATATTTCACTGAATCAAAGTATTCCAGTTATCATTAGAGATCTTATAACCTAAAATTTGTATTAAAATTTATTTTATAAACATAATCCACTTCATAAAATATTGGATTTGAATTGACAAATAAATGCATTTAGCTTTTTAAATAAATTTATTAAATCATAGTTTACATAGTATAAGTAAAATAGCTTCAATTTGTAAAAAATTTGGAAACATCGAATGGTAATTGGTATCGTTGCTATGTGTTCAAATATAGATTATATCAATAAAGCATGTAAATATTAAATACAAATTACGGATAAATTTTTTATAATAAATGATATATTTCAAAATGAAATTTCATATTGATTAAAAAAACATTTATATACAAAAACGACTGGTAGCGCAATCGTAGTAACATTTAGAAGATGGTATTGTGAGTTTATCACGTGTCATCGTGAATGTCCAATACTATATTCTGATTACAGTTAACCGATGCTATATAACTAATACTACCTTACATCTTTCTACTCATCACGAGTTTCACTATTCGTATAGAGTTCCTCGTTTATTTACAGTTTCAAATATAAGTGCTGTTTAAAAATTGCTCATAAATAATGGAGAAAATACTAGTCGAATCTCAGGATGGACCTGTAGTGTCATGTTTATCTAACCTTCTTCAAACGAGTGCCGATGAGGCACTCGCAAGTCGTGATATATTTAAAGTTGGATTATCAGGTGACATGCCTTAAATAAATATTAATTTGATTTATTATTTCTAAAATATTACAAAAAGAAATTAATTATATAAATTCAAATATACTTATAAAATACATATTAAACAAAAACTAACTGTAATATTTCTGTTTAAAATACATACATATTTATAGGTTATACATGCTGTAAAAAATTGTATAATTAAAAATTTATATGTATATATTTTTTAATTTAATTGTGACATGCACTATTGTCGTTTCAATATAGTATATTTTTATAATTTTTGAAACATAAGAATTATTTCTTAGACTGACATATTAATCTAGTAGTAAAGTATAAAATGCTTATTTCTCTTAGGGGGGTCATTGGTACAGTTATTGGCTCAAAGCTTACCTAACATTTCGACTGATTGGAGTAGATGGTATTTCTTCTTCTGTGATGAAAGAGTTGTTCCTTTTGATAGCAGTGATTCTACTTATGGAGAATATAAGTCAAAGTTAATTGGGAAGATACCAACAACTGAAGATCAGTTTATAAAAATTAACCCTGATCTGTCTGGTAAAATAACATGTTTCAATTTATCTCTACTCTGTTTCTTCGTAAAATGTCACATGTATAATCACACTAACAATAATAATTATAGCTGAAGATGCTGCAAAAGATTACATTAAGAAGATGTCTGTATTTTTTCCTCCTGATCGTGTTCCATGTTTTGATGTGCTTCTTTTGGGATTGGGTCCAGATGGACATACATGTTCCCTTTTTCCTGGTCATAAGCTTTTAAATGAAGCAAGCTTATGGGTATGCCCTATTAATGATTCGCCTAAGCCACCTCTATCTCGTATTACTTTTACTCTTCCTGTGATAAATAATGCAAGGAGATGCATATTTGCTATTACTGGATCTAGTAAAGCTGAAATTGTTAAGGTGACTATCTCATTGAAAGTTAAAAGGAAGTAATTTTTAAGTTTTACTTTATATAAAAAATATATTTTTATATTTAATATTTAATATCTCAGAAAATTTTGCAAGATAGAGAAAATTTACCAGCTGCTCGTGTGCGACCATACAATGGAGAATTATATTGGATCCTAGATGATGATGCTGCAAAATTGTTAGAAATGGCTTAAACAGCATATTCAATGAAATTAACTAAGACATTCCATATTGATATTATGTCCTAATGTTCAGCAAATTTCTTGGACTTACTTTTGTAAACATATGTGCATCTTATTTAAGATACCTAATAGAAAAATAATTAAATAATAGCATTTTTTGTAATTTATTACTCAAATACTGATACTTGTTTATTTTGATGTTAGTATCATTTAAAATATATTAGGTTATTGTGTTATTCATATTTATATAATTAGTATCTAATACTTTATTTTTTCATTCAAATTTGTAAACTATAATGAATATAAAATACAAAAAGCTAAAGCATTTTTACATCACATTGCTGTATTATTATTATTATCATCAAAGCACAATTTATATTTTCGTATTATTTTAATAAATTTACAAAATCATATAAAATAGAAATGGTAAGAAAATTTTTTAAATAATATATGAAAGTAAGTCAATTTTATTTCTGGAATAAAAAAATACACCTTTAAAGAGCATATAAACATTTAGCAATATTTTTTTTTATTTAGATATAACAAATATGAAAAATAAAAATATAGTAATGATAATAAATATATATAATATAATACGATTTAATTTTTAAATTATTTTTCAATTGAAAGTAAATTATAAATATATTAAAACCAAATAAACGATTTTACTTCTTAATTTTGTTAAATTACAAAGTTTAGTACACAGAATATTAGAATTAAAATAAAGCTATAAAAAATTAAAATTTTTGAAAAGATATACTTATGAAATGAATATATTTTTATTATTTATACCATACTATAAATAAAATAATATATAACACGTTTTCGCAACAATTTCTATTTAATTCTGTATAGATTAAAAAATAATTAATGAAGTAATTATATGAAATTTTTATGGGATTATATTTCATTTGTAAGAATGAATATTATAATCACTATCATTTTAAATACAGAAGTAAATAGATGTATTTAATATAAGTTGAATAAAGAATTGCGTCATTTGGCGGTTTATAAAAACATTCTTTGGTGATTTACATAAAATTAATAAATATAGATAAATAGGTATGCAGCAGATTACTTATATACAATGAACATATTTTTGTATAATATTATATAAAATTAATATCATTAACATATATATGTAATTTAAAGTAGAAATATCGTTTGCAATATATACTTAAAGGACAACATCTACTATCACTCAAATTTAGTAAACAGTGTTATTTTCTTAGGAACTAAAGTTTTTTATAATAATTTAATAAATTATGTTTATTTTTTTTACAAAATCTTAAATGTACAATGGATATCAAATCATAAAAAAAATTTAAAAGCTATTAATTCACATTCGTCATTTTCTAATAATTCACATTTCGTCATAATATTAACTAAATAATGTTGTAAAATATTTTAATTGTATACAGTATGATAAATAACTTCTTTACAATTGTTTTAAGTTCACATGAATTATTTACAAGATTCTACTTGGAAATACATCAAACAAATTACATTAAAATTAAAAATATTCAATTATATATTTCTACATAATGTACCTAATATATAAATGCTATAATTATTTATGAAAAAAGATTTCGTAATTTTTAATTCATTTACTTCCATTAGATTACAAAGAGAAAAAAAAAAAGAAAAAAAAAATATATATATTTGCAATATATATATAATGAAAAAGTAAGGATGTCGCTGAGTTTAAGAAATCATACGTGAAAGTAATGTTCGTTGAAAACTGAATTGCAAAACTATTATTCTTTATCATCATACTCAACACTCATAACTATTTTTGTGATTATTTTGAAGAAAAAAGTAAACAAGCATGGATATACTTGTTAATACTATATCATCGTGTACTTCTCTACATGAAGCCTAAATGTACATATTTATAATACACGTAAGATATACAATTGTTCTCAAGATTCAGTAATTAGAGAATTATGTCTGAATAATATGTGTAACATCAGAGTAATATCGAGAGTGAAACACTCGGTTATAGAACAAGTTTAAAACATAAATTATAACATGTAAATGTGCAGTTTTTGCAATAATTCATAGCATAATACCATGACATTAGCGAATTCATTAGTATCATTATCATTATTATTATAATTATTAAAAATAATTATTAACATTAATATATTAATAATAATAATATTATTATTATTAAATACGCGACTGGAAGATGTTTGCGATAAGGATTAAATACATTTTTGAAATTGATAAGATGTTATGCATTGAATTATCTTTTTACTTTACCTTATAACCATATATATCACAGTAACAATATAACTCGATCCTCCTAGTTTCGAAATGTGTAAGATTACATAATGTATTTTTAAGTAATACATTCGTTTACATTTTCATAAAATTACATTTCATGTATATATTACCTGACTTTCGAAACACTTTACAAATTGTATGAAGTATTTCATATTACAACTATCAGTTTAGTTTTAGTTTCCTTTCCATACAAAATAAAATGAAATTATGAATCATAATACTTTTTCTCTTTTCTAATGGTTTTTGTACTATCATTTCTATTTCAAAATTATAAATCTACACGTTCGTTTTTCATAGAAGTAAAATACGAGTATAAATCAAAATAGTGAATACAATTAAACTAATTCGTATGACATTTGCACAAAATGTATAAATGTAAAGTTGTTATAGATTAATTCATATTCCTGGCCATTTTTGTTATACTTATTTTCTTACTTGTATTAAATGTGTGTTCTATATCAATAGTATAATACAATTGAGAAATAAAATGGCAAATGCTTAAATAATCGTGGAAGCTTTGAGTTAATAATAAATAAGCGATATTACATGTAACAAAAGGCAAAATATGCCAAATTGCTTAATATACTAACCAATGACTGGCTTGTTTGTATATCTTATGATGTAGTTAAAGAATAATTTAGTTAAATTATTATCACCTAAAATAAATAATCATCACGTCATATTAACACCCAAACATGCCCTGAAGTTTTCATATACCATATAACTAATCGATACGGCTGGTGCCACCTAAAAAGAATTAAAAAGAAATATATAATCAATAATTTATAAGTTCGAATTCTATGATAAAAGTTATTCCATACCTTTAAAAAGTTCGGAGTTATACCTCTATACAAACCACGAATTCCTTCGTTCTTAATAATGTCTTTAAAAACACCTATCATAGTATCAGGTTTTCCTGGTAATATATTCGCTTGCATCCGTGTTCTAACTAACGCTAATGGATATGAGCACACTTGGCCAGCTGTACTAGAAGTTGTTCCACATAATAGTAATATCCAAAACGGTGGTTGTTCATTTTTGTCATGTGTTTGTAAATACCTATTTTTTAGAGTCTGTAAAAAAGACAACATTTAATATTCTAAATAAAGATTATTAAACACGAATTTCTTTAATTTTATATTTACTTCATACACAGCTAAATCAATACCAGCATACGGAATTATTCCCATTAAATTAGGAAGATAGCCTCTATAGAAAGATTTCAAACCTCCTTGTTTATATATTTTTTTTGTTGCATCTATTAAGCCTGAATACTCTCCTGTTTTTCTAAGTGCACATCTAGTTTTAAGCACCTATAATATATCGTGAATAATATTAATAAATATAAAGTAATAAATATTTTATATTGATATTATGGTTTATCATATTAATTACATACCTCGAGTGGATATATGGCTGACTGGCTAATTCCTCCAGCTAAAGATCCTGCTATGAATCTTTCATAAAGACCAAGATCTCTAATGTCCTTTCCTTTAATTGCCCTCTTAATCTGTTCATAAGCCATAAATTTCAGTGCACTTTCTGGTCCAATTTTAAGTACATTTATACCATTTCCTCTCCAGAGACTAAGAGAGCCACCTTCACGAAGCATATAGTTGAAGCAACTCTTTATTTTACAATGACGTGTTCCATGTACCTGAAAGTTTTCTTGCTTGTAACACAAACAGGACTGAACTTTAATTTTTAGTCTATTATGTACCTAATATTTTGATTTTACTATCTATTAAATTATAACATCTCTATATATTTTCAATCTCCATTTTTCCTTAATCCTTATTTTTTTCTTTCATTTTGATAATATTTTTTCCCTATCCTTTTCAAATCAATATTAAATTTTTTAAATTTATAAAAAGCTTTGCTAAATAAAGTAAAAATTTATATGTATTTGATATTTTTATATTCTATACAAACCTGTAAGTAAACTTTAATACGATCCAAAGGTGCGGTACACGTGCGCGATACAGTACCCGCTACACCACCAGACACCAAATGTCGCCACCACATTCCAGAGACCATTTCGCCAGTTGTAAAATCCTCGGGGACACCGATATCTTCCCCAATGTCCATGTACTGAAAAAAGATAATAAATACAATTATTAGAATATTTTTGTATAAATATATACTCCAATTAGTGAACGCACTGAAAGTGAACCGCCACTCTGCCCATCGAAGAAAATTATCCCACGAAAATATGGTTTAAATTTTGATAGGTCGTGCATGATTAATTCATTCACGGTTAATATTTTATTCGCCATATTTAATGATTTTGACATTTAGTTGTTACCGCAAATGTATGGTTCCGTCATTGTTGTCAAAGTATTTGAAAAAGGCAACTTATAACTTGTACGATCTATTGAAATTTTCTATTTCAATCCCAATATTTACAATTTATTGGATGTCATTAGTTTTCATTTCAATTTTAAGAATAGTTTTAAGCTGAAAAATAAGTGTTCCTCCAGCCCCTTATCTTTCAATACATTCTGAACCAGTGTCCACTAGTTATATCCCTGGTCTGATTAAAATACATAGCCATCTATGCTTTGCTTGAGCCGGTAGTCCGTGTACCACGTGTCAGATAATTCTTGAACTCCGATCAACTATATACTTTCAAGATTACTTGTTCAGACGTAAGCGAGTTTTCAACTGTTTTATCGATTTCAGACATTACATTACATGATATTTTGTAATTTATCTACAATTTTTTGTTATTATTTAATATATATGAAACATATTACGAAACGAATAAATTAAAAGAAAAAAATCATCTTGATCAATCTTAAAACATGTATATATTACTATATTTAGAAAACAGTGCACCACTTTGGACTTACTAATTTTTTAGTAATCATGTAGTGAGAATAATAAAAATTAAACCTTTTTGTAATTTTTGAAACGCAGTTACTACTGAAATATTATTTATCGAATCTGTATGAAATAAATATTTTGGATGCAAGCAAGAAAAAAAACGTTTAGTAACTTCGTAGACTTGTTAATGATTTAAGCAATCATTTTCATTTATCACGAAAAGCTAATTGCATAAAAAATTGTATAATTATTAATTGTTCTCTGTTTAAAATTAATTAATTTTCTGCTATCATCGATGTTATACATACTAAATACATATGGAATATAAAAACAATTCATATTGCTTTACTTTATCTATATTTTAATCAAACTCGTCTATGAGCGATATATAAGGTAAATACCTAATTGAAATTACAGTGCAAAATTACTCTTTTTGATAAGAGAAACAATTAAATTATTTAATTAACAAAAAAAAAAAAAATCGAGTTTCATTTGTAGCCGCACAAAGAAGATAAAAACAGTTAGAAAGAAATTTCGACGCAAATAGGTTTTACTAAATTATATTTCAACTTTGTAAACCTTTGAATTAGACAAGTAGTTATTATCTATGGTTTAAGCACAAAATATAATTCACAGAGACGTGCGCCTACTAACCACTGAAGTGGCCAATCTTAAGACTGCAAACTCTATGATTAAATTTTTAAATGACACGATCAACGTGAAAAATATATAGTCCTAGTCAATACTACATTATATTCCAAAATTTGATGCTATGTTAATACACGTACAAAAAGTTTAAACTAGAATGTAATGAGATATGATAAAAACAAATGAAAATGCAAGGGTATCTATTGCGAGAATTTTTCTTGGAACTATCGCCATCGCCTGGGAGACTAAGATCAAGTACAATAAGTCAAAATAAATATCAATCGCAGATACTTAACTTTGCATGAAATTGAAACGCGGTATCTCTATCGATATCGATGCTATCCATCGTGGAACAATTGTACTTTGTGTTATTTTTCGAACAGTACATTAACGCTATGAGAAACACTGAGAAACAAATTCAAAGAACAACTGAAAGGAACGAATAACTACACAGCTTTCTGTGGTTAAGTCGGGCTGTAAGCCAGCAAACAATTTGGTATCTCGCCCAATGTCAGCTTTAAAATCACTTCTAATTTGACTAATAATAATAATAATAATATCCTTTTCCATTGTGAAAGCGTTTTAGCCATATATTAAAATGTTTCTTTTTTTCAGTCTACCTAATCAGAGGCAGCAGAATTCCACTAAATGAATTAGAAAACTACAGAACTTGAAGCTCTTTATTTTATCCAAAGATTCTTTTTCGTGGAAAAACAGAGATGTTCAAATATGAAAAATTAGTAAAACACTCTTAGCGCTAAAAAAAGGTCAATGTTAATCAGTGCAAAAATTTTATTTTTTCACATGTAAATACTTAATGCAGTTTCGTTAATGCACTCTCCGAATTTGGTTAGAACTAATATGACACGACTTTGTATGTAAACAATTCGTTTCTGAATAATTAGATTTGCAAAGATTTGGAAATAGAAATTGGTGACATTGGAACAGTTTTTAAAGAATTAGAGCTTTTTAATAATGTAAAACAAAAATCATTCAATTGATATCCATACGTATTAAGTTCTGATTAAAATGATACTTTGATAAGATTAGTCAAAGTCTATCAATAACGATTAAATATTTGAAGTTTCCGTCTTTTGGAACTATACCGTTTCTTATCGAAAATATTCGGACTCATTTATTACTGATAAAATCGTCGAGTTTTACGTTTCTACATTAAAAGTAACAAGAACTTTTGAATTTGTTTCTAACCGTAATCTATAATGTAGTGGATAAAATATAGCACGATAAAACATGCAAAATTATGTTAGTGTTTTAAAGCGTAAAATACAAATGAAAATAATGGCGGTTAGAACTTACGAGGAAATCAATATCACAACTCAAGTGTCAGATAACAATCAGCCGGTCACTAACTACAATACTTACTTTATGCTATGAAATATCGTACATATTTCATTTAGAAATGCATATTAATATTTTTAAATATCTTCTTTTAATTTTTATATTAAATCGAAAAGTATGCTTTAACCTGATTCTATTTTTAAATGAATTTTGTTCATTTTTGTTCTCTACAAAAATTTAAAATATATACAAAATAGTTATTCTGCAGATAGGACGATGTCTCTTATATTTACGCATGCATGTATATCATGTAATTCTCTTGCCATTACACAATACTTCTACCTACGTTTCTCCCAAACATCACTTCTGACAATCGGTATTCAAAACATGATAAATCAATATAAGTCTCTATAAATTATATTTAGGCAATTTAATCTTAAATCTTTTATTAGATATTTTTCGGTATTTTAATAAAAGATATTAATTTCATTTTTAAGATTATTGTAAATATAATTCTGATTTATACAATAAATTAATCACCGGTTTTCCAATCGTTAATCGTTATTGTAAAATTTGACTTTTGAAGTAATTTACTTAAACACGATAAACTGTAAAAATTCTGCATAAAGCTCTGCTCACAGCAAGTCCTCACAGGCAAGCTTGTGCAGAACAATCTGGAACGAATCAGAGGAAAGAAAGGATTTGCATTCACGATGAATCATCGTTTGATGTTTCACGATTATCGAACACGCGATCCTTATTGTCATTTTATTCAATTTTCTATATTCATATATTTATACCTTTCTATATTCACACCTGATAAAGTTTATCGAATATATCTCTCAATTACAAATTTTATACAATACTTGTGTGCATTTCAATTCGGAAAAAAATATTCGTATTGACGAGTGTATTTTGACAAATCTTATCGGTTACTAAAACAATATAGACAATAATTATTTTGATTTATTAATAAATGATATGCACATGTGCAATAATAAATTGAATAGAATTTTCGTAGTGTCACATTTCATAAAATAACGATATATATCTCTGGCAATTTAACTCGAAAAAATTTTCGTATTAAAGCTTTGTTTAGTCTCTGTTTAAGATTTAATTTCTTTCACAAGAAATTAATTCAAAAAATATGCTATAAGAAAGTATAGAGCAATACGTTTAAACTTTCTCCATCGACTACCACGTGATATTTTCGACAAACCTAACCTCTACGCGTCTTTATAACCTCTCATAGATGACCATATTGACACAAAAAAACCGTTGAGCTACCGTACATTAAAAAATAAATTTTACTATAATTCCTGAAATTCAAGTTTTATAAAAATTTATACAGAATAATTGAAATTAACCGTTACAATATTAAAATAAATCTTTGATTGCGCTTCCTTTTCTTAAGGCTATTATATCTGATGGTCAAAATAAATTAAAATCGCAATAAAGTTTTGAATTGTATTTAGATTTGTTATCTCTTTTGGTGTCATAGATAATCGTGCTACCTTATGTTACTATTTTACAGAAAAAGACTTACCCTTTGCAACAACTCATGATAATTCTGAAGAAATTCTTCACAGACCGGACATGTGGATGAAATACAATCATGTTTTAAAAATCCTGACTTTTTTAACGTGTACATTACTTTGGAAATATAGGCAGAACCGTTGTTACTAAAGAGCTTTTTTTTTTAATACCGAAAAGTCGAATTAAATTTTAATAATACAATTTATATATCTATAGATATGACACCTTCAAGAGCCCGAAACGAATACAAAAAAATAGATGTGGAAATATAAATAATGACAGGCAAAAATTGCCGAATGAAGTACACAGGGAAACTAGATAAAACGAGCTTCGCCATTAGCTAGCGATTTGAGAGCTCGGAGTCCGATCTCAAGACTAAAGAACACCAAGGAACATCAGAATTGAAACAAAGATATCGTTCGTTTAGCCGGGGAAGTCCCCCACTACTTTCTTGTAATATCTATAGTATACGTCACGTTACTTAATGTATTTTCAATACCTGTCGTAAATTACCTTTAGTTTTCTATATCTGCGATATGGTTAATTTATATACTTCATACATCTATTATACATTTATTTGGAACTTCATTATTATTGTACTGAATATTTAAAAATATGAAATAATTATAAGAAAATTCAAAAAGATTGACGATGTTATAACGTTAATATCATTTTTAATTTAATGGTACTTGCATTTTGCTATATTTTTCTTTTCTTTTTTACATTAAAGGCAACTGTTACAGAATATAAAATTTATTTTTGCAATAACAGTAAAGAATGTCAAAGATTATTATAACGATTGAATCCTGCCAAAGACTCAATTTAGAAAACTTTGTATTTTAATTAGTGTATCAGCATATTTGAGAGGAACGTGTAACTATGTGGCCTCTTTTCGCGTGAAAGTTAACTACGAAAATTAAATTCTGTAAGAGATAAGTTACTCGGTCACGCTTGACAGTCTTATTTATCCAGCTGTTATGAAAAATACTTTTGTAATTCTTTTTATATGTACGATGAAAAGGTTACAAGGCAAAAGAGTTATGTAAAAACGTGAAATTTTGTTCGCACCAAATGGATTTTCAAATAGTATCTGTATGTACCGCGTATGCAGAGTATATACAGAATGAGACCGTTTCAGACATACTACAGTTGCATTACAGAAATACACTTGTGAATAATGAAATGCATTATCATGCGAGAAAACTAATAAAAAAGTGTTGTGTACATAAACATTTCTTCCTTAAAATATTTTAAATTTATATATATAAAAAAAAAATTAATTAATAACATACTGAACAGTTGCAAATAATAAATAATAATTATTTATGACGTTCAATACCTTATCGTTCTTAGAACTTAATCATAAGATTTACACATTTAAAATTTTAAATTGAATAAAAATTTTTAATTTAATTTTAAATATTTGTCTTCTGGTTATTTAAGTGTAAATTCATAATACGGCACTGTTCTCTGCGACGATGACCTCACTTAAGTACGTGGCTGACGAAACATTGCAAGATATTTTACCACCCTCAGAAATTTTGCTGTTTACAGTTTAGTTCAAACTACAAGATAATGAAAAAGTAGCATTATTTTCCGTTAAATATTATCTACAGTCTTTAATCTGCTTTATTTTTTGTAAGCAATTATAAATTATAAAAATATTGATTCATATCGTTAACTGTTATTGATATGTATGTTATCTAAAATACAATGTTTCAGTAAACAATAATACTATATTTTGCACTATCCTCCTGAATAATAATTATGGTGACGTAAATTAAACTGTTATTTAAAATTGATTACTAATAAATTTCGAAACAATCAAGCCTTTGAAAAGTCTCACAGTGCAATATCATTGGCATAAAATTGTGCGTAGTAACATTTCAAGCGGATTCACGTATCGAATTCTATTATGAGATATTATTGAGCGATATTCTTTTTATTAAATAAAGATGAAAAGAAAGGATAATCAATACAAAATTTCACTTGTACCACAAATAACATTTACACTATCATAGGTATCCTTAGCTACAATAGAGGAAACGATCATAATGTAATGATTCCAGTTCCATCCTAGTGAATCGTTAGATTTGTTACTATTCCCTTTCTTGTGCAAAGATATAGACGTGCAAAATTAAGACGGAGCATGTGCAAGAAAATTATTCGTTCCATCAGCGCATGCGTGTTAAAATCATGATAGGGTGGGATGTAGAGATTATAGCGGGGAAGTGGTAGAAACAGCTGGGAGACTATCAAGGTCATTTTGAATGACAATCACTACGTCACACCTCCGGTCGAGCCTTCACTGTCGACGAATCAGAGGCTTGAATCGATTCGAACGTTTTCTCGTGCACATGAACTACACCCACGTACGAGTTCATCGTACAATTGGTATTTAGAGAGTAGACGATCACAGAGTCGTTTGTTCTATTACGTTTCCATTCTATCAAATATAAAACAATAACGTAATAATTTTTTAGATAGATACTTAATAGATAAGACCATTTATATTACAAACTGATCAAAGTATTTGTGATGTAATATATAAAGTAATGTATACCGATTATTATATACTTTCTGTATTATTTACTTACATTTGTGTGATGCCAATATTCGATAAGACCCAGCAGATCGGTACTTGGTGCATAAAGTAAAAAATCTCGCCACTCGTTAAAGCTTATAGTGAGACTTCCATCTTTATCCATTCTATGAATTATAATCACAAATTGCACTTTACTTTCAGTATTTACATAAATTTAAAATTTGTAGATAAATTAGAAATAAAATACCAAGATGTATTATCGCTCAGAACTCACCGTTGCAACAACTTCTTCGCTTCGTTGAAATCCATTTTTATTCCTAATTCTTCAAATGCTTTTATCAATTCTTCAAGGTCAATTTTACCTACGGAAATGAACTTCAATTGTAATAACATCTTACGATTTATTTATTATGTTGATAATTGACTATTGCATTGATAAACACTTTTGTCAACAAAAGAAATACTAACAGATAAAGGAATAAAAGAACAACAATGATCATAAATTTATAGATTATGACTTATTTGCTTAACACTGAATAAGCTTAAAATCTCTATATAGAGTGATTCCAAGCAAGTTACCATTTATATGACGTCACTTCTTGTTCTCTAACGAATGATTTTTTAAAAAATTCCATTTGAAAGGATTAATTAATTGACAAAGTTATATTTTCCAATAATTTTGATATTTTAATTGCTTTGGAAATTTTAGAATAATAATTTCTAGCAAAAATCAAATAAAAATTATCAACCGGATTGAAATTGAAATATATATATCAAAATACGATATTTTTTATTTCGAAAATTCAGATTAATTCAACTATTGTATTATCCTCTATTATTATGTGTTAATTCTATTTAATTAAAATTATTTTTATATTTCAGTGGAACAGTGTTTTGAAATCAATAGATAAGAAATTCTTCAATTAGAAATTTCCAGCTAGTGAGCCAAGAACTGTATTCCTATTCGATGTCATATGTGTTGAAGTCATTTTTTCGTGTACTACTAACCATCTTTATTTTTATCTAGATGCGAGAATTGTAGACGTAGATTTTTTTCGTGTTCGCGGACATAATGTATAAATTCTGCTAGCGTAATATCACCGCTTTTAGTACTATCCGAGCTGGCCAAAAATTTCTGAAAAAAAAATCCTTTTTTAATTATATAAAAATTATTTTAATTTTTTTAGAAGTTAACATATACGGGTAGTAATGAAAAAATCAGAATTTACCCAAATTCAGTTCGATATTCTTACAGTCATATACGTGGTAAATTGAAAAAACTAAAAATTTGTAAAAATCGTAAAAAAAATGTTACTATTTTAAGAAAAGAATAAATAGCAAACTGTTATATATAAAGTTTATGCATCGAAGCTTTAAAAAGTAGTATTATAGTAGGTATTAACCTTGATGAAACCATGTAAATTGTATTAAGTACTAAATATAGTAAATATACTTCGTTCGGCTTCAAGAATATCAATGACAATATTTTTTAAATTAAATAACATCGTTCAAATGGCTAAAAAGCTTGTAATAAACTCAAGGTCATTACTACTTTATTACATAAAAATATACAACGTAATAAAATTTAAAAAATATTTTACAAAAATGTAATTTGGAATAAATTTAAAAAATGTATGTAATTCAGTATTCATGTTATATACGTGGAACTGAATATTGCATATAATACATAGAATTAAAGATTTTAGAATTCAGTTCATAATTGAAGTGTATTATTTAGATTATTTAAACATATAATAAAAACAGTGAATCATTTATTGCTTGTATGTTTTACACTTTATTTTACTTGTTCTATTTAATTATTATTTTTTACGAGTTAACAAACAATACGTTTTCATTTACATTACTTAAACTAAGGAAATAAAAAATTTAAACTATCATCGACAAAATTAAAAAATTAAAATTAAATTCTTAATATATATCGTATCGCTTTTAAATTCCTTTATAATAATAACTGCAGTATATGATTGCCGCATAGAGTGCAATGCGTATGTATGCTCTTAATGGAGTCTAACATAAAATGTATTTTATAAATCTTTAATCGCTAAATTTTTAATACTTGCAACAAAAAATTTAGCGAAATCGCAATATATTTAATCATAACATCTTAATAAAATTAATAATGTATCAAACAAATATTAGCTTCCGTTGGATATTCAAAAGTTTTATATATCTGCATTGTGCAGAATGGTCGTACTGTAGAATTTTAAAATAAAATATACATTATAAGATTACACGTACCTCTGCATAGTATTTATCGACTCCAACTTTTCGAAGAGCTTTAGATAAATCTTTTACATCAATTTTTCCCTTTCCATCTAAATCTAATTTCTGAAATATCTTTTCAAACCTCTCCTCATCTTCAGCCGGCAACTCATGAAGATAATGCGGTGGCATTACGCCATGTATGTTCCCTCGACTGTCAGGCATTGTTTTCTGTTACGTTTTATATTGCGAAGTACTAGAATTCTTTCTAATATCTACGTTACTGTTATTTGTTTGCTTCCTTGTTTTCTTACTTTTAAAACATACACATTTTATGAATTATTTGCTGACTCTTGATATGATCACTGCTACATGTAGTATTCAGGTACACGCATACGATGGAAGTCATAACTGCACACACGTGGTAATTATTACTAAATGCTAAACATCGATTTTTTAACCATTCGCGCACTTTTTACCGACGAATGAATGTCATCTTACGTGTCTATTGTACTGTCAAATTGAAAAACGTCTTTGCGGAATTTCACGCTATAAGATTGAACAACGTATAAAAATATTTCGAATCTTCACATTCCTGCAAATTATATAAATACACTTAAATTAACCATATATCCACCATACGACCTTCCCTTCATAAACGTAACCGAACAATTGTCTACGCACAACTAAGTCCAATATTGCTGGAGTCCTTCTGTACTTGACAATAATTGGAGGCGCTATCTGATGAGATATTTCAGAAACTTTTTTACATGGCATCGATCGATAATAGAGATTCTGTGAATACTACATATTTCTATTTCTGCGCGCGAATTTTTAAACTTTAAACATTTCATTAAACTGTTATTGATTTTAATGAAGAGGAATTAAAATTATAATAAAAGATTGACAAAGAATCGACGTTTATATAGAATAGATAAATATATTACACTCTCACTTACAGTACACTTTTTAGAAAATACATTAAACTTTCATGAATGTTTATAGAAGATACAAAATGTTTGAATAATTTTACCTTGATGCAATGTTATCTTCAAACAAATGTTTCTCTATTGTCAAGATATTCGTATTTTTTTTTTAATTATAAATTTATTGTGCTTACATGCATCGATGAATGAAAAAAGTAATAAAATCTATTATTCCAAGCATTATTTAAAGTATTTCTCAACAAAATGTATCAAATAGTTACTTAAATTAAATTTATAAAACTACATGAATGCGATAATATGAGGCGAAAAATTGAACGATATAAATGTTTTTATTTATTTTTCTATAGTAATTAACGAAATCAGGGTAGTAAGTATTATTATGAGTATCACATCATGTTTATATTATAATGTGACTTTTTCTTCCATAGTTATTTATTTTAGAAAAATACATTAAAAATGCCAGACTAACAATTATGTTAAACACAATAGGCAATACGAATATGTAATATTGTTTAACACTGAGGATTTTTACAAAAATTTAATGAAACAAATACTATAATAAGGTTTTGATTTATTTTTTTTACTAAATCATTTTACTTTAAATAATTTTTAATTATAATAATTGTAAAATGTACATATGTGCATTGCTCATTGTGTTTACAGCTAATGTAACAAAAATCTTACAATCAGAAATTAATTTAACGTAAGTGTCACAAAAGTACTATTAGTACTGCTAAGTGCCAAGTGCTCGCTGACTATATGCATTATATACCGATATGTATATAATTATTATTGTTTCATTATGTTCAAACAAAGAACGTTAATATAGATTGTATGTGGCTTCATACCATTAACATAGGTACGTGTGTATTATTATACACATAGTGACATGTTTAACATGCAATTAATCTGAAGCTTGCACAAACAGTATTGTTGCGCTTATTACTTCCCAGTGTACACAGCCCTCTTCGCTTTTTTATTTTCTACATTTATTAACGAGTCATACTACGAATAAAAATAAAATAAGAAAAAAAAAAAAAAAAAAAGAAACGAAAAAGAGAAAAAGAAATTTAAGAGCAACATTTGACACACAGCTCACTAGATTATTAATCATAATTCCTTTAAACAACAAAATATTTAAAGTTATCAAAAGTCTTTTTAATTGTCTGTATAAAGGAATTATTTAAAATATCAAAAAGTAATTTAAAATAAAACTTTATGAAATTAATAATTTTATAAACATTTTACTTTTGTTGTATCTGAACAAACTGTGAAAGTGGTGTTTATTTACAGAAAGGAAAACTTAACTTTTTATCTTCATTTTTCTCATAATACATAATATTCAAAGGATGATTTTGGTCAAAATTGTAAAACTGTTATGATTTGATTTACAGCTACATAATATAAATATTAAGAAAAATTTCAAGTTTTAATTTAAAATATAAAAAGTACAGATTTTATTTATCATTTGTTAGATTTAGGATGAGAAATTAAAAGATGACCCCTTTCTGAAATATTGTCCCACATTTTCTTCAGTACTATTATTAATCATGTGTGTGATGTCAAAATACAACCTTATGATAAATGTATAGTGATTGCAAATTAAGTTTCCACAGATACTATACAAAATTTGTACTATATAAATTTTTTTAAAGATGTTACACTCTTATCTGTGAAACCACTAACAAAATAAATAATAAAGTTTCTAACATATTTTTTAAACATATAAATATAGTTTCAAATCTAAACATGATCAATACCAATGATGCTTCCAATGTAGAACAAATAACTTAATATTTTGTATGTTAGGTATCTTTGAATCTGTAATGAAAATATTTTCTGTAGAAATATAAGAAATCATTTAATTTACATATGAAAATTCTTAATTACCACATCTGACTAAAGGTAGTATAGCTTTAATTTGAATTTAAAAATATGTAATTCTATATGCTGGAGTAGAACAAATTAATTTATCTTATATTTTTTTCGCGTATATTGTTTCATTACTGATATACCGTGACAAACCAACAAAATTTGCAACAATAAACTAATAAAACAAATAAAATTGCACCGTTATTTATAATTTTTATAAGAAACTAGTTATGTTCCGAGTTTACATTTCTTTCCACAGATCAAAGTAATGTGCCTTTATGCATTGCAAAATTCGGAAATACTGAAATCAATGTATGCAACTATAAAAACGTTTTATATGGTTTTATGTTGCTACATATAATTCAGAAGGCACATTTTAGAATGAAAGAAATAACATTCTACTTGAACATATCCAGTTGTATGTAGTATTTTTAATGAAAAAGATAGATCAATTTCTTTTGATCTCTACACTTTGTAAAAGGTCTATGTTACTTCCACTAAAACTGGAATCATGAATATCTATACTACATATTATTTTATAAAAAATAGAAGAAACCAAAGACTATTGTAATGCATAAATCACTATACTGTAAAGAAATTACAACTTGATCAACGTATTTAATTTGATCAAATTTTGTATCACATTTACAAAACATTATTGACTGAGTCAATTTTTTAATAAAGAAACCAAAAACTTTCGATTAATAAATATATCAAATGCAGAAAATATCTATCAAGAATATAAATTTATCGTCCATAAAATAAAATACATATTTCATTTGACTTTTGCTGTGAAAAATATTAATTTCATTTTCTGTTTTGTTTTTTCAACAATATTATAATATATTAAATCATATCTAACATAAGAAATTAAAGTAATAGTTAAGAGGAAGCCAATGTGACTGTTTCAGTTTCTCGTAAGTCCGTAAATCGAACATGTTTACAAACGTGAGAGCTGCAGCTCGCATAACAGTCCGTTTATATTAATTTTTTCACTCTTTAGTACCAAATAATTTCAAATTAGTCATTTTCTGTATCTATCCGATTTATCTGATAAATTTACAAAAAAAAAAAAAAAAAATAATAAAAAGGTCATCAAAATTTTTCAAATACTCTGCGAGTAATGAATCAGGTATTTTGACTTTTACATTAAATACAACAGCTTATAAATCACTATTTTGAATATATCAATTAGTCACAGCAATAAAATAAAATGCAATGGTTATTTTACCAGGCACAAATGGAATCTATAGTTAATTTCCCACTATATATTGTCAAATAAAGGAAAATTTTATATACTATTAAATTTTCCTCACTTTGCTTTTTTTTTTAGCTTTTTAAGTATTCAAAACAGTAACATTTTGTACTTAAAACATGACGAAAGATTCTTAATATCGATTTAAAAAAAAGGAAAAGGAAAATTTATTTCTTTGAATTTATGAGTGAGTGAGTGAGTGAGTGAGTGAGTGAGTGAGTGAGTGAGTGAGTGAGTG